TGCCTGCTCTGCCCAGTGTCTCTGAACTCTTAGGGACAGCCATGTATAGTTTACGGAGGGCTGTCAAAACTGCCCTATAAAGCGCTAATAAAGGGTCGAATCCCTCCACATAAAAAGTGTGGGAACAGGGAAATTACTGACTCTTGTTTTGTGTCGTACGGTGCAAGCATCTGAAGTTATCTTTGGGGATTTGTGCATAAGAGTACGTGACGGAAACACTTTGCTTCAAATTTGTGAAACGTTTGAATGGAAAACCTGCTGTTAACTCAGTTTATTTGTGCTTTAGCCAAAGCTCAAAATTTGCAGGGTAAATGAACAAGCGGATGTGAAATACACATGGTGGTGTTGCTAATGGGTTGAGCAGGCATGGATGTGCACAAGTTCTAGCAACGTATTTAAATGCAGACAATGTGTACTTAGCAGGCTCACCTTACTTATGTTATAAAATTGCAACGCTAATCAGCCAAAATAAAATGAATCAACTAATTACCAATTGTATGTTAGGAGATAAAATCATCTGATTCCAATAAGGCATGCACAGAAATTTCAGCAACTGATTTTTCGACCAAAAAATTGTAAAAAATGCAACAATCAACTGAAAAAGAACAAAACAAAGATTAAATCAGACACACAATTAGGTGTCTAATCTAAAACTTCAAAAATAGGTTCAGTGGTAATAAAAATAGAGAAACATGCTGTTCCTTTCGCTTTTCTGTGCTGGTCAGAGCGGGCACGTTCAAACAGTTTAAGCAGCAGAGGATCCACAGTTAAAACATCAGCTATGTGGAGGCATTTCAGAGCTTCTACAAGAAGCACTAGAAAAGTGATTTGTGATGTCTGTTAATGCCAAGTGTCAAAAAGAAGCACATTTCACAAGAACTTCCCAAAGTGTCATATCACCTAAAACATGAAATACGCAGAATACAGCAAAACAGAAGAAGAGGGAAAAGTCCCTGTGAGCATGCAGGTGCCACCTGTGGCCTCTTTTTTACAGGACACAAAAACTCACTACAATCTCAAGTGAAAAGTTCAAGGAAAAAATTAATAGAGTAAATAATTTCGGACGTTGGATTTTGAGGCATATACTACAGTCTACAAACTGTAATTAGTCTATGACAATGAAAATCGTCTAATAATAACCCAATACTACCACTACTACAAATAATAATAATAATAATAATAATAAGTCTAATGCTTTAATAATACATTTATTTGATATGAACTTTTTATTCATTGTTTTTTCCATTTAGGTAAATAGGACTGAGGGATGATTTTTTTTATGACATAATTATGATTTCTTTCATGGGACACATGTATGCACATACTCACATACACACATGCAGTGATACTGATCCATCCTTACCCTCAGAACATCAGGAGGTCTGGCATCATACTCTAGAGGGGCCTTCAGTAAGCTCAGGTCATGAGTGGCGATGGTAGCTGTCGTCCTTTTGGCACAAATTTCATCGTGAAGCTTGGTCTGAAGAATTGATAAAGATGACAAATTAAGAGTACAATAAAAATAGTAATGAATACATTGAAAAAAACACCAAAAAACAACTTTTTTGTATAGTCTTGATTTAATTAAGGATGTTCTTAAAGAAGTGCTGACGGAGCCATTAGAACTAGTGGTGTCCAGCGCAAATATTGTCATTTTATTTACTATCCAAAAAGACCAGTGACCCTACAGGTGTCTTTTGAGATTTTATATGTAATGATGATAATGGCCAAAAAAAGATAATCTTTCTCTTTTCAAGCAATGTATTTCATGTAATAACTTCCTATTAAATGCTTTGTCGTCTAGTTCCTACCACCACTATTGTAAACAATTCTGACTTGCATACTTTCTCTAGAAAGGAGCATTTCACATTAAACGTTTCTGATTGATTTGACTTCTTAACGATTTAAGAATGCGTACATTTTGAAAAATCATTGGAATTCCCGTTTACATTTTTACCTTACAGTGGGTTTCTGGAGAGGAGAACGGTTAATGTACAGCTTAGCACTTAATTAAAAGAATCGGTTCATCCTTTGGGCAGTGTTTGCAACCAGTAATATATATGAAATTCAGTGTTCCTATGTCATTGTTTGGTAGATTAAGCTACTTTGAACCTTTTTCACTAAAGATTTTAGAATATCTTGGTAGATGAGATGGGACTTTTCCATCATTTTTTCTTACCTGAGCGACCAGAAACCTCTTGAGTGCATTTCCTGGTTTCAGGTTCATGCCCTTAACGATACAGCACACTATAAATGGCCGGACGTCCTTCACCTGCGGAGACACTTTCACCGTCACTGCTGCAGGGGCATCAGACACATGCAGAATCCTGACCACCATCTGCTTCAACTCATCCACTTCCTCTTCCTTATTCTTCTGCTTCTGAGCATTCTTCTTCTTGGAGACATTGCGATTCCTATCACTCCTCTCAGCGCTCTCCCCGTCTGGCTGCTTGCCCTTGCCTTTCCCACGGCCCCCTACTCTCAGGTAGTCGAGCACAGACTTAGTCTGGCAGCCATTCACCATCTTCTCCAGCCGCTTGTCTTTCAGCTTGTTCCCTTTGAAGTTGATCTCCTTCAGCTTGGGACAGTCAGCCAGCTCGAATGGAATCTCCTGGAGCTTATTGTTGGACAGGTCCAAAACCTAAAGAGCAGTTAGAATACTTCAAGTCTGTAAAGCTAAAATCATTACAAACGTAGTCTAAAATATTTCAGCATTACATAAGTTGACTCTATACTTAAACATATACTTCACGCTTCAGACACTCACCTTTTATTTACATTCAATGTCCAATTTATCGGGTCCACTTACTATATAGGTATAGGCACTTTGTAGGTCTACAATTACAGACTGTAGTCCATCTCTTTCTTCCATAATTTGTTATTCAATGATCAGGACCTCCACAATAACACCACTGAGCAGGTATTATTTAGGTGGTGGAGACACTTAGCGGGTGTTGCACTGATACATAATGGAGTAGACAGAGCAGTGCTGCTGGAGTTTATAAAGTGAAAACGATGGAAAATTATAATCCGTCATATATTAAAAATATTTTAAGTAAATAGGCCTCTTCTGCCTTGATCGGGTGCCACTGCTCGCCGTGCAAACCTCACCCTCACAAACCTCCACCTGTTTTCCCTGTTTTTGTACTATAATACTTTATACTAACAATGTTTTACTATCCGATGTCGACCAGAGGAGCATGGGTTCCCATTCTGAGTCTTGGTTCCTCTCAAGGTTTCTTCCTGTTTCCCTAGGGAGTTTTTCCTTGCCACTGTTGCCACTGGCTTGCTCATGGGGGCTTGGACCTGGATTTCTTTCTGTAATGCTGATTTCCTTGTAAAGCTGCTTTGTGACAACACCTGTTGTAAAAAGCGCTATATAAATAAACTTTGCTTGCTTACTTTGCTACATAAATTTGCCTAAAATACCGACAGCTTTGTGTGTCGCAAAATGCCGGTTAGTGTTACTCATGAAGCAATAAATGATTTTAAAATTGAAAAAGTGACAATGCAATATTTGTTTTTTTTCTCCCATAGAAAGTGACTTTACTTTTTGTTTTTTCCAGAAAAGCTCAGATTCAAGTAATTTGAGTCAGTGGTCAGCTGTGTTACAATGTCACTGATGTTGTTCGATTTAATATGTTGTGCACTTGAACTATATAATCAACAGTTCTACCCTGTTTGCCTCCGCACTGATGGAATGACCCTCCTAAAATGGCCAGTGAGGGCCTCCACAGTGGTAAAAATGATGGGCTCCAAAAATTATGGAAAAAAAAGTGGAAGTTTCATTTTGGAGATTTTCGTCTTGCCAAAACATGACATTTTTGTGTGTTCTGTTACTTTTTTTTCAGGAACATTTTAAGAATGCATGTTTGGACTCTAACCATATTGGATAATATTTCAATAGAGCTTTCAACAGCTTGTATATATGGGGGCAAGGCTAGGACAGTGAGGGGGAATACTGCATTTGTGAAAGTGAAATTACCCAAATAATACTGAATTAATCAGTTATATATTTACATGTATTATTGTTGACTATTTACTTAACTGTTTTCCCAGCATTATTAGCCTCTTTAATTTGTTGATTTATTTAACTGTCACAGAAGTCTACCAGGGTTTCCCCCCTGGGGTGGTGGGTTATGTTGGAGAGTGTAGTTTTGAGAATTATTCTGTATTCATGATGGTCACTTTTTGTCAAACAAAACATAAAACAATCGTTCACAAAAAAACCGAATGCAATAAGTAATGATCAACAAACCTTAAGTGCAGGCAGGTTGTGTATTTCACTGCTCAGCTGCTCTATTGCATTTTCTGAGGCAATGATAGTGTTGAGCAGCTCCAGGCTGGAGGAAGAGCAGAGATCTTCTGGAAGTTGGGTCAGCTCGTTTTTAGACACATTGATGCTGCAAAGCTTCGTGCACTGACTGAGTCCATGCGGCAGCTCCCTGATGTTGTTACAGCTAACGTTGAGCGTGGTCAGCTCACCCAGAGAACAGATCTCCTCGGGCAGATCCTGCAGGGCGTTGACCGACAGGTCCAGAACTTTGAGCGCCTTCAGCTCGCCGATGTCTTTGGGCACTGATGCGATCTTATTCCTACAAAGAATGAGGCTCTGCAGATGAACCAGGTTCTTGATGTCCTGATGGATGCTGTGTAAGCTCGGACACTGACTGATTTCCAGGTAGTTGAGGAGAGACAGAGAGTACAGTCTGGAATGGACACCGCCGCAGCTCTCTATCTTCTTATCGACTGCTGCACCCTGCAGGACCAACTCTCGCCTATTTTCTTTTTCTGCCTTTTCTATTTCTTGCCAAACAGTCTGTGAAGCGCTTTCCGCCGCCATGCTGCCCAACACGACACCGGAAGAAGTGAGTGACTATATCCGGAAGAGGCTGTACAATCTGGTCCGCCCAGAGAGAACAAATAATCTTCGGCACAACTTCAGTGACTTCAATAAATGCGGGGAATCGACAATGTGCAAATTTGCGTCGCACAGAGAATATGTATTAGCTGGAAAGCCACAGTTTACCACAGTAAAATACAAATAAATGAGAATGTAAACGACACTGCGAAATGTACGTAAAAAATACAAGTACCCGAATCCTTTTCGAAGGAACAAGGAAAGCGCATGCGCATTGGATGGCAGTTGTCAAACGGTGGTTATGGAGATGAGATGGGATCAACAAGCTGTCTTTGTATTTGGGTAAATATAGTTTTTATTCTTCGGCTACTTACGTAAAACCGCTTACAATTCCACAGTTACATAACTGTGTGTTAATATAGGTGATATGTAGCCCAATTAACCACAAGTTTCTGTCTTTTAAATATTATTTATGCTTAGGTTAGCTTTGTTAGCTTTAGATGCTTCAGTCTTTTTTTACCTGTAATCCTGAGACATTGACCGCACCAACATAAAATAACTTGAACAGCTCTCTCACATATGAACATGTAGAGCAAACGCTGGCCTGGTACTGCAGTGTTTCAAAAGTGCTAAAAGATGGTTTCAGCTTGTTGCTAACAGTAACTCAACAACGTCTTAACAACTTGGCCAGCAAAGAAAAACACTGACTAGTACCTCAGCCTCGTGCCAGCACATTCCTCCCGAAAGGAGAACGAGGAGGAAAGGTCACTGCACATTGGTAGATGCCATTCGTCTCTACTAGGTTGAGGCTAATCAGACGTCTGAATTAAATTTGCTTTACAAAAAGTTGTTACTCTTTTAATTTTCCTGGCTTTATTAGATTATGCATTGTTTTTGTCTCATGCTTTTCATGTGTGCCCCAGACTTTCCTACCTCCATAGCTGGACTGACTTTAATTTCTGTGTTCCACATCATCTATTTGTAGTGCGTAGGAGCAGGATGCCACGTAAGATAGGATTCACCGTGGTCAGCTGGTCTGGCCATGAAGAAAATTATAGTGCCAAGGAGCTCATGGTTCATGCCCCCACTGTCAGTGGTTGGAGGTCTGCCAGGTAAATTATATTGTGGACCAGCTTGTCATTGTCAATATAACAGTATATGATTTAAACCACACAAATAGCAAGCAGTGTGTGCATTTGACCAGGTTATTTTGTTCTTCACACACTCTCATATAAAAGATACAAAATATATTCAATTTCATGCACAATGAAAGATTGCTGGCATGCTCAGGTGACTTATTTCAGGTGTATCATGGAGAGTTCTATTTGGTAACAAGGTTGGATATACCACTTCACATCCAAGACACTTTAAACATGTTATGATTAAAGATTAAAATAGCCTTTATTTCCAGGGCGCATCCATGTAAAAATGTTTAAAAAGCCTGAGGCAAAAGAGAGAAAGCTACCCATGCATGCTGGCCATTAGTGTGAAGTGAGCTTTGTATTTAATTTAAATTGAGAAATCTCAAGACATGGGTTTTTCCCAGTCTTGCAGCTGGACAAAAAGGTCCCATATCATGGAAAGCCAAATTTCCTTGTTTGAATTGAATGAAAGCTTTTGTTTGAATGAAGGAGTAGAAGAAGAAGTACTAAAGAAGTAATATATAAACATTATTAAAGTTTCAAAACATACCATTCACTGACCAGTCCATGCAGTTCATATATGGAAACTAAGCTGCAAATGCAGCCTGTTTTGAATTATATTTTTCTCTGATGTCATGGGGACCATCTTGTACATATTTCCAGCTATTCAGCCTATAGCAGTTTCATTTTGTCATGTAAAAGTTCATAATGACCGTTTTTGGTATATAAAATCACACACATGTTATAAGTAGAACTCAAGAGGAGAAGAAATTAAAGAAAGTGTAGGATATGGGCTTTTATTGTGCTCCATCCATATTTGTAAAACCATCCCTGTAGAGTTAATTCAGTGATTTTACTGACAGTTTGACACTAATATTGGGTTGCTGTTACCATGTACAGGTTCTGTACATTCCCACAAGAGATCACGCTGCAGATGGTGGAGAGATGTCGCATCAGGAAGCTGCAGCTGCTGGCTCATCAATACTTGATTTCTGCCAAGATTGAGTTCCACACTGGGGACAGACTGCCAGAACCTGCCTCCCCTCGAAACTCCCACCAGCTCCGTAGACTTGGGTCAGTGATTGGTCCCTGTTCTACTACTGCATATGGCACAGCCAGTGTAGAGATGAGTAAATTTCAAGGAACTACCATGCATACTTCCTGACAGCTATAGACGCAACCTTGTATGTACTGTTTATATTATGTTTAGGCCTACATGACAGTAAATTCTTCCCAAAGCCTCTGTACAGTCCATAATTGGACTGTGCAAGTAAAAAGGGGTTGTGATTCCCAAAGACTTTGACTTTTTCACTGTTTAACTTCTAACTTCATTCAAGTTTACCAGTGGTTAAAGTGTCCAAATACTTTTTGGAATCACTGTGTACTCATTGTTGCATAACCTAATGTTCATGATACTGAATGCATCAATACTGTTTGCTGGTTTAAAGTAAAGCAGTTCGTCCTAACTATGTACTTTCTGAATCTCTGTGCTTTGCAGGTATGTGTCACTCTCAAATAATGAGAAAACAGGCTTCAGAGCTCGAGAGTTGAAGTCAGTGCATGTAGATGCAGTGGGGACGTATCTGAAGCTCACGTTCCACCGAAACCATGTCAATCAATACAACATCTATAACCAGGTGATGTGCATGCTCAGACAATATGTGCTTATTTGTTCCATAGTTTGTTTTTTTTTCATGTCTCATGTCCTTGTTTTTCCTGTATTTTGATTCCAGGTTGCACTGGTGGCTATAAACATATTAGGTGACTCGGTGGATTGCAGCGATATCAGCCCAGCAGTAAGTGAAACGAAATGAAGTTTGTTGTTGGTTATGCAGTGCACCTCACTACCACCAGATGGTGACATCTGCATTTTGATTGGAATGCATGGGCGTTCAAAGAGGGTTTAATTCTGTGCAAATTCTTTATGACAATCAGGGCTGGGTTTCCCAAAAGTAACAAAAATGATTAGTAAATGGTAGAGCGAGCATAATTCTGATCACTCTCTCTCTACTAGTAAAGATGCTTTCGGGAAAGGCCCAGATATACATTGTAAAACATTAAAAGTCAAGCCAACATGAAATTTTGAGTCAACCTTCTACATAGTGTTGTTTTTCTCAACTAATTTTAGTTCAACCAGGTCTCCTAACTACATTTTTGGTTACAACTAACTAAGTTATGCTGACAACAGTTGAGATGACTGTTGAACATGGTAATTATAAGTTTAAATTGCTTACTTTTTTGTTGGAATTTTAATCAATTTCTCTCCACTGTTTAGTCATTGCCAGTTTGCACCCAGATTCTATGATTCCCCCTTCACACTGTACCCCCAGCTTAGGGAGGTGGGAGCTTCCACTTCTCAGGCTTCTGACCAGGGAGTAATGAGACATCACCGGGATTTGAACTCATGATCTTTTGTCTCCTGATGATCAGCAGTTAGATAGTCACACCACTCTGAAGCTGTGAAACTATGGAAAGAAACATTGAAAAAATATTAAAGTGTTTATTTATTTGCACAGATAAGAAGCCTGAGAGGAGGAAGCTCACAAGCCTTGGGGAAGAATTAAGTAAAATGCATCAAAAATCTGAATCAGTTTCATCTTTTAAGGACTGAGTAGTACTAAAAATGTGTGTTTTTAAGGAGACCATTGAAAGAAATAAAATGCAGTGCAAATGTCAGATTTACGTGGTGTGTTTTATACAGTGTACGTTTTACTGTGCATATGCATATTGCTGTTGTTCCGAAAAAACCTTGTATCTCCAAAATGGTAGCTCTACAGGAGAAGGAAAAAACCTACTGTACTTTTAATGTAAGTAAGTGGAACCAGATTTTTTTTCCAAGATATTTTGATTCGTTTCTTTTGGTCCATACTTAATGAAATTTACACACAGTGTAAAGGACAACAGGCATTTCAAATTATATCAAAAACTGAAAAACAACAAAAACAGAAATTCTTCGAAGGTTTTCTTTCGACAGCAGTGATATAGTATTATAAATGTATTTATAGCACACTTGGTTCTTAGACAAGAGAGTTGATGAATTCATTATTTGATGATTTTCGAACACCTTGTTTAGTCCTGCCATTGTAAAAAGAAAATAGTCATGTCCAATAGTTTGGCCACCTCTGATCAAATTACATGTTTGGTTGATTGTTATAAGTGAAAATAAGGGCAACTATAGAGAAACTTAAAAGTTTTTTGTGCACTATTTCTATTTATTTGAGCTGAACAAATTGGGGAAAGAAATAAAAATGAAATATTTGCACAGGCCTCATTTTATTACATTTATTTGTACATGAACAGTAATGGCACATTAAAATGTGCAGAAGTTTGTTCTCACTGAAAATCATTTAGAAAATCAACAAAACATGCAATTTGACCAGTGGTGACCAAACTATATTTTCATTATGTATACAATTATATACAACTATATATTAAAGTGACTGAGGATGTACATATATGTGCATGTGTGGTTTGTCCATGTGTCTTTACAGTCTTACATGTTTTATATTTGCATGTTAGTCATTACTCTTCCAGTGGTAAGAGTAGCCACCACCTGCAAAATCATGTAATGTGTGTTCATTCAAAACTGTACTGATAAACCGTGGATCTCTCTCTCTCTCTCTCTCTCTCTCTCTCTCTCTCTCTGTCTTTTTGTCCATCTTTCTCTCTCTGTCTCTGTTGTTCTCTCTTTTTCTGTTTTCAACTGGCTTATTCACTCTCATTCTCCCCTTTCTTTCTCTTTCTATCTTACTCTCCTCTTATATTCTTTCACCTTGTCTCTTTGTCTTTTGGCTAACAGTCTCTCCTTGTTCTGTTAATCTCTCTAACTCTGCCACAGAAACAGTAGAATCGACCTTCGCAGCAGCAGCTAAACTAGCTGAGCGTCACATCACTTCTGTTATTGCCAAAACTTCTTCAAACCTTATTTTCAGTCAATGCCTATAGATTTTTTTTTCCATAGTTGTTTGCACAGTTCAGTTAAAGTAATGGGGAATGTGAATTTTGTGACTGTGGATGACAAAAGCTTATATTCACCATGAGCTGTGATTAAAATACAGAAATTATTCAAAGATAAAATAGAGATACAAGTAAAAATTAAAACGGATTTTTAATGTATGCTCCATAAGAAGAGTCGGGGGAAGCCATAATTTCTGTTTGAAAATGTTAAATAAACGAAGCAGAAAAACAACCCAAAATAGCTAGCAAAGGCACCCACAGCCGTAAAATTGCACTCAACAGTAGACTAAACCCACCACAGGCACATAAACACAGGGTAAACACAAACACATCTTGAACTACTGAACAACAGCAACAGTCCCTTTTTACTGACGGAGTGCACGCTTCTCGTGAGCCTCTTCAAATGGCAGTTTGCATAGCATACCTCTACACTCTTGAGTGGCAGCATTTCCCATGGCAGCTGCCACACTACATTTCAGAACTGGCCCTTTAGTTTTACATTAGTGTGACAGTGGGAATGTATTTTACCTCTCTTTTTGCTCCAGCCCAGCAGAGATCGGCTAATTGAGCAATATCTCAGCAGCACGCAGCACAGCTCAGCACTGGACGGCTCATATGCAGGGTGAGGATTTCTTAAAGTTTTGTTTGTACAGTGTTTGTCAAACTCCTTTTCCCTAATGCTCCCTGATATTCTCTGTTCATGCAGGTCTAAGTATGAGTCTATCTCACCGCTGGATGATTTGGCGTTTGACATGTATCAGGATCCTGAAGTTGCCCATATCATTCGCCTACTGGATGATAAGAAGCAAGACACGGTCCGCTTAGAGAGATACGACCTGGCCAAAAAGCTCAAACAAGCCATTGCAGACCTACAAAAGGTACCAAGTGAATTTTGCCTGAACTAGTAGCTCATCAATTAATGCTGAAATATGCTTGTCTTACATACATGACCTGACCCCCTGATTATAGTCTGTTAAGATCCTATGAAAGGACATATTCTAGTGTACTTTTATTGCTATTTACAAGTAGTAACTATGTACAAATGGCAAATATAAATGTTCCTCTGATTGTTGCTTGACAAGGTAAATGAAAGACTCTTCTTGAAGTGTTAGTGTAGCTAAGGCCTCTTTTTGCAGAAGCTTCCCTGTAAGAACACCTGGCAAGAGCGCAGAGGAAGTGAGCTAAACAGCTGAGTTACTGAACAGTATGACATACCAGCAGTCTCCATAATCATAGGGCAAAACTGAGTGCCTAGCATTTATCCTTCTAGTGTGTTACACAGTTTTGGGGTAATTACGCTAGAAATTAAAAAGATGATAAGCAGCACTTTATTTAGGAAAAAATAGACATCCACAGTAAACATAATTTAAAAGGCACATACTCACCTTTCTATGCTCTGAACCAAAACTTATGAATTTCCCCAATATTATTAAAAAAAAAAACATCATCATAGTCCTAAAACGGCTGGCTTAAAATAAACCTTTTATGTATGAAGTTATGTGCATTAATATGAAGTGTACAGAGCTGTTTGTGCTGTTTAACAACAGTAAGTACAGATTTTATGCAAAAATTTGGGCACCTCCAATTACATGTTTTTAATAAGTACATATCGTTTTTGTAGCATTATTGTCAGTATTGTTAAAACAAAAACATAATGTGGCCTGTGCAAAAGTTATGGCGCAGAATTCGCAGAAAAATGGCATGTGGATGTGTTGACTTATTTTAACTTAATTTTTACAATAAAGTGGTTTAAACTACTTCCATTACACCTATGCCATTTAGGGAAATTCCACTAACATTTCAAAATGTTCGCATAATTAATATGCATCCAAAGTCATTTAGGGTTTAATGTAACACTTACCAAGTCAGAATTGTTCACAGCGGTGGTGATAGGAAGCAGATGGCTGAAGTGTTTAATGCCTATAAAAGCTACATCACAGAAAGTTATTACATGAAAAGTTTATAAATACGCTGCATGATGCCGGAAACGTTGTTTTACAATAGTTTTGACAAAGTTTTGACTTTTTTTTTAGTGCATTCATGGTGGAGAGATATATAAGCCCGGTGTTGTAAGAATTTGTAGAATGCAGAAATTTTGAAAAATCAGTGGAATTCCCCTTGGATTCTGGCCTGTTTGGCTGAGGTTTGGCCACTCTCTCAACACAGGGATCTTTATACCGCTCTCTCTCTCTCTCCTCTCTCTCTCTCTCTCTCTCTCTCTCTCTCTCTCTCTCTGTTTCTCTCTCTCTGTGTAGGTAGGGGAGCGTCTGGGCAGGTATGATGTTGAGAAACACAGCGCTATAGAGAGAGAGGATTATGACACCGCTAAGCAGAAGAAAGAGCAGATGGAGTCATACAGGCTCAGAGTCTACCAGCAACTCGAGCTACATGACCTGCTGGACATGGGTCAGGTAAGACTTATATCTACTGTCCAATCAAAAATACTATCCATCCATCTCAACCATGCATTCATCCAGTCAATCAGTTTATTCATATATTCATTCATCCATCACTCTGTCCAGTAATCCCCTCCATCATTCATATGTCCATTCATTCATTCATTCATTCATTCATCTATCCATCATGCTGCTGTGCTGCATTTCTCTCTGTCCACACTTCAGTCTGCTCTATATGTGCTTTTGTATAGCCTGATTTTATCTGTACAGTGTGAGTAGTATTCTAATATTTCGGTCTCTCAGCAGTACCGTAGTAATATGATTACTGTGGTGTTTCTGACATCATATGTCTTTCTTATATTTCATTACTCTAGTTGAAGGGACTCAAAACCAAGAATGTGGTTTTTTACGTTAGCACAGAGAGAAAGCCTGAACAAATACTGAGCTAAGTCCAATAGATTTTACTTCATTATTGATGTATGGTTTATGTTTGTTATGGCTTGTTCGAGAGCCATTGTCACTAAGCTCCTTCTGTTTGCTAATTAGTGTTCTGCATTCTTTTCTCTTTCATATTACCTTCCTCTGTTTACTCATACGTAACTTTTACACACTGGGCTTTGATGTCCTTCATAACAGAGATGGTAAAAAAAATCTAACATGTAAAAACATTGTGAGAATGTAAAACATTTAAATGTTTTTTTTTTTGTTAAGTGAGTCTTTTTGTTCTAATAGGAAGGATTTTTGTACTACGCATTTTCATTAAAGAATTACCATTAACAATTTAAATTAAATAAAGATGTTAATTTGTGGGACCCTGCGGTTCAAGATTGGTTTATTGTCTTAAATCTTCCATCTTGGCTTCCATCTTGGTTTCCATAGATTGATGTCGACCTTGATTTAAATAGTTAATGGTAATTTTGCAATGAAACTGCTTGTGTAGTGTGAAAATCATTCATGCTAGAACAAACAAAATAAAAGTGAGTTTATGGGATTTGCAGAAATGCTTTGTTACTTCACAGTTCATATCAGAGTGGAAGATGCTTGTTGTCAAAGTAAGTGTGAACTATATGGCCAAAATATAATATCACAAAACGAAGAGACATTTTTGCAATACATAATATGCATAATATTGTGATATTTCATTTTTTTGGGGGGGTCTGATAAATTAGAGCAGACAAACAACAGACCCGAAGGGTCACATTAAAAAAATACTCTCAAAAACTGTGAATACAGTGATTTTTATTTTCACATTCTGTGTTGCACTAAATCCAATTAAACAGAACTAACTATACTCTCTTTGTAATAAAGCTTTCAGTTCAGTGTTCTGTACATACTAGCGATATCCATATACTCAGAAAAGCATATTGTGGCATATTGGTGTCCCGATACCAATAAAATATTGTCATATCAAAGTGTCAGAAAATGCCAGTGTGAACAGCACAGTTATGTGAAGAAATATAAATGTCTAAAAAAGCTCTATCAAGAATTGCTTAACTGCAAAACATGTAGTATTAGTGGTCTGCAAAAACAATCTGCCTCTAGAATTCACCTATGAGTTCTGCTGTATGTTCACTTCACACCTTGTTCATTAGAACTGTATACACTCACATTTTTAATGTCATTTTGATCTCATGATAATGTATTGAATGTTTTTAGTTTTTCTTGGAACGTGTATGTTGGCTTTGTTGAAAGACTTGTTCCTTATATGTTGTTAACTATTAAGCTTAACTTGTTAAGCTTGGAAGGCATCTTAATTATAGACTAGTGATTTATTAACAGGTCATGTATTTATAGAAACAAATATGGAGTTTTTTCAATGTATTAAGCAGTAACTGCTTCAGATCTGTCAGATCAGCCGATATTCACAGGTGTGTAAATATCCAGCTCCTTTCGCTGTGCCTAGATATTTTTCACTTACCCAAAATGGATATCTTATTGCCATTTTTGCACTGGTTTTGATCTCCCCTATACGTTCCACATTCTTTACACAAAAGTCCACATAGATCTGTAAGCCATAAGCCACAAACAGAACAAAATCATATTCTGGAGCATCCCAATACCAGCAGTATTTAAAAAACACAGGGCTCTGATTCAGAACTCATTCAGATTGCTTGAATGTGATTGAATGCAAGTTGTAGTCAACCTGAAATCAAAATGGAACTTTTTTACCGTGTTGGATCATGTGCCTGGTCATATTAAGCATAGTTCATTATACCCTAGCATTTCTTTTAGTCTTCCGTCAGAGGGCCTGCCTCTATGAGCCTTGACAAAGGAAGCCAGCAGTCTGTCGTCTGACACGTACTGTTGGCTCTAGTCGGTGTTTGTCAGCCCTGTTTTGGCCGATTGAGCATGTTGAATTGGTGTCGCCACTGTACGGGAGAGCAGGCTGTGAACGAGGAGAAGAACGAAAGAAAACAAAGCGAGAAACTGGCATTCTCAGGAGGGCACCCTGAGAATAGCCCTTTTCAGCCTCAGTGCAGATCTTTAACAATGTAAAGTGCTGTTTTTAAAAAAATAATTTTTATATGAGCAGTGTTTGAATGTCATATTCCAAACAACAAAAATACTTTATATTGTTATGAATAAACACGGACACATAAAGGGGGGTGCTCTGATAATACACATAAAGCATGAGATACTCACTTATTTCACCAACAGTTTTACTGTTTGTCATATCATTATGAACGTGTGTGTTTGATGCACAAACTTTCACCAACATTTAAGTGGTGTTTTTTACCCACCCAGTTCCAAGCTAACTGGTTTTCTTTCACTTTCACACTCTAAGTTTAGCTTAAACATGGACATTTTAAGTTGATAAGACATGTATTCAACACATTCTTTACTTTGTGTGAATCAGGTAGACTACTGCCAGCTCCTGCTATAGAAGAATGTTCCCTTTTGTGCATGTGCATGAAAAATGTGTTATGATCTCTGTTTCACTTTGACTTTGAGTTTAGAGTCTCAGCAAAAAACAGCTCTATATAGTACCAAAAATGGTACTTTGATTTATGCAGTGGTGGAACTCTTTTTGGTACTACATAGATTTTTTTGTAGCATGATTTCTATATGTAACTACTGTCTTTACTAACAAACCTTTAAAGAACCTATTTTTAAAGATGTAGCATTGTATTTAAATCACATGTATAATTGTACATTTTATGTATAATATAGTAAAAAGAACATTTCTAAAATGCTTTACAATACTTCTGTAGTCTAATGTATCAATCATCATGACAACCTGGTACATTTCAGACTTCTAAGTATTTTATTCTCTGCTCAGTTTGTGTAAAGAGTTCATTAGTTTGTAAATGAGTTCTAAAAATGTGCCTCCAAAAATGTGTCTCTTTTTTAGTTACAGATCCAGAGAATGGCAGAAGATGTGTCAGACTGTAGTGTTCCCTCTCCACGTGTCCGGCCTCTTAAACATACCTCAAGTCTTTCCCAATCACCAAAGAAGAAGAGACCAGAGCAGCTTTTGGTGAAGGAGGATCAGATTATACCTAAACCTACGAGCCCAGAGCATACGCATCCAACACCCCGCTCCCCGCCTCCTCACCTCCCAAAGACTGACGTGAGTCTAAGAATTTATTCCTGTTATACCCAAGATTAACATTTTAATGTAGTTAAATGATAAGTCTTATAAGTCTTATATTTTCCTAACAACATCTAACTGCAAAAGGCACTATTATTCATTCCTTAACTTTAAACCCTTGTTTTACAAAGTAGCCCTGGAAGTCTCTGGAACTGTACTGAAGGAATGGAACACTGTTCTACCAAAAGTTATTCCTTTTTGATGTTCATTATGTAGAGTGCTGTCAAACTTGTCCCTCCAAAATCTCCCATAGTGTTAAACAGAGTTGAGAACTAGTGACTGCAAAGGCCATAGCATATGATTTACATCATTTTTTTATTATTAAGGGGCCCCTTGTGCCCCTTAGAAGCATCTCATTATGTTTCTCCATTCATTTGTTCAGGTTTGTCTTTTAATTTATCACCTGTCTGTATAAAAAAATGCCTCACATTGGGGATCTGTCTTCATTAATAACTGATGCATCCAGTCAGGTGCAGGGAAACAGCTATTTATTTGTCAGAGTCATAGTTACCTCTCATTTTAGCTGGGGTTAGGGTTAAGGTTAAGGAAATATCCAAGAATGCCTGGCTTTTCTCTTTATCTTAATAGCTGTGGTTTTCATGGATTGTCCTCAAGCAGCGTTAAGACCGAAACAATGGAGGATAAGTGAAACAGTATTTATATTTGTGTTTCAGAAGAGAAAAATTTACCTTACCCTTGTACTTGTGTTTATATGTTTATAAATGTTTATAGCCAATCAAAAAAATAGATTTTTACAGTGTCCACTAATGCAATATGTAATCATGTAATCAGCATGTGCAGGAAAACAGTTTTTTTTTAACACTTTTGAGAAGTGTGAAGAGTACAGTATTCTATCTGCTGAATAAGACATTAAACTCCTACCCTTGAGCTCTCATAGCCAGGTGTTTTTCACCTATTCTCAAGAGAAATAGCCTTTTGGTTTTTTTTTTTAATTTCCTCCACATGCACACTGCAGACCCAATCAGTTAAAACATCTCCCTCTCTTTCTGACATACATACTTTCTCATGCAGGGTAATATAAGACTCTCTCCTGGCTTGAGGAACAACTTGGAACATCCGTTCGGCTTAAGATGCTTTGCTGGGATTTGGTAGTCATGTGACCTCAGACAGTATCGAATTTAGATCTTTAATTAAAATAACTGTAGTTTTTTTCACTGATGTAGGTTAATGTAGAGGAACATACGGGTCATTCTTTGTGAGTCCCTCCATCATAGAGAGGCAGAAAGAGTATGATTTAGCACCAACCCAAATCTAACACCACTTTATCTTAGGCTTACATGCTTCTGAACACTTTAATTAAAGGGATCGGGTACATTAGATGAGGAGCAGATGTAAATTCTGCAGGACAGCAGAATGATGTTCTCACATACCTCTAGAGGTGCCAAATCTTTAAAGATGCAGTGACAAAGTTTGAACACCCCTGGTCAGATTATACATTTTGTTGAAGTGGAAATAAGTTAACACATCCACTATAGAGAACAAACTTAAATATGGAAGTTTTAGTGCTTAGTTTTTATTTATTTGCTAAATTTAACATATTGGGAAAATTTAAACCTAAAAAAATTAAATGGGTTATAACTTTTGCGCAGACCACATTTTATATTTTATTTCTTTAAATGTTAAATTCAGCAAATAAACAGTAACTGTGCTTGAAAATGTGCAGAAGTGTGTTCTCTGTAGAGGATGTGTATTTTCACCAGGAAAATCAACAAAAAAGTGTAATTTGGCACCCAAACTTTCACATGCAACAGTATAAATTTTAGATGCACGCAGCTGACAAAAGAAACTGCATGAAAATATTATCATTAAAATATCCTCTTCAAGGACCCAGCCTGCAAAATGCATAGTGGATTGGTAGTAGGTGTAATGATGCGTATTTACAGCTTCAATGTTTTCTGTGTTTTGTTTATACAGAGCTCTAAATATATATTACATAGACTGATTTGGCTAAAAAAAAAACATTTGCAAAACTATATAACCATGTGTCATGTAGTGATCTCATTTAACAGTGCAACTGAGCTGTAAACAATACAGAAATAGACAGGAAACACTAAGATGCCTAGTTTTGATCTTTGCCCGGGTTTCTACAAAAGACAGCAACTGAGAGACCCCTGGAAGAGACAGAGGGGCATATCAGTGATACAGTTTTAATAAATTGAATATACTGTTTTTAATGTCCATTTTTCAGATTTTTCTTATACTGTATTGAACGTTGGTAAACATATAAAGAGTAAATTGTGGGTATTTAAAACTTTGAATCCATGAAATGTAACTGTATAAGACAAGACAGGAGTGTTTCAAACTTTAACGTATGTCTTAACGTAAGTAATTTTGGACCATTTCTATTGGTCTGTTCATCGTCATACATCAGGGGTGCACAACTCCAGTCCTGGAGGGCCAGTGTCCAGCATAGTTTGGTAGTTTCTCTACTCTAATACACCCACTAAACCTGGCAACTAACAAATGACTCATGTGTGTTTGAGCAGGTAAATCACCAAACTTAGCTGGACATCAGCCCTCTAGGACCAGAGTCGCGTACCCCTGTCATACATGTTCACACAATGTAAAGGGTACCTGGTGTGCTTGATTTGTCAATTCCTCCACCTTTTGGAATGGCCCTGCAACAAAGGTAGTCATCTAGCCGCTATTGTTGTTTCACAGACAGTTTATATGCAACAGGAAGTCAAATGTCAGAACTGTAATGATAATATTTTGTGATGTTAAAGAATCAGTCTTATGACAGAATAGCAGAATATGGTTCACTTCAATATACTATATAATTGCCTATTAGTGAACTATAAGACTGACTTGTTAAATTCACTTTACTGACAATAGCCAGGGGTGATCACAGTGTAACCTTTTATGTATTTGTATGTATTTCCTCAGGTCATTTCATATGATGAGAGGCCTCTGCCTGCCTTGAGGAAGAGATCAGGAGAGCAGCCTCAGCACGAACACCCAAGCAGCCCCCGCAGTCCTAGAGCCACTGGAGAACCAGAGCCTCTCACTGAGAAAGCTCAGAGAGAGGCCAGTCTGCCCATAGAGATCTATGGAGACAGTCTGGTAAGGAATTACATCCATCCCGAGACGTTTCATTTAATTTCAAGTATCTGTCATTGAACTGAAATGTAAAAGAGAAGTATTATCCTCGGGCATATTCTAGCGTAGTTAGTTTGTGCTTCCGAGAAATATGACAACATGACTTTATGTTGAGATAGACAATTCAGACAGAGTTGCGAGATTTTAAGATTTAATTCTAGGAATCTTAAATCTAGGAATTCTAGGAATTCCTAGATCTAGGAATCTTCTTTTGGAGTCTGTTATAAAGCAGTTACATAATAAAATAACAGTTATTCATTTCATTTATTGCCTTAACTGGAAATGTCATAGATTTTTCCATTTCTTTAATTTTTTTTTTGCATAAATCAATTGTTGACGTGTAAGTAAAGTCATTCAGAGTGATGTAAAATGGTGCATTAAAGAGAAACTCTCTGATTTCTTTACAGTGGTGGTGATAGGAACCAGGAGTCACAGTGTCTACAATGCAAATGTAGTTGTTTTATTTTATGACCAAGATACCTATACGTGTCTACCGGTTTTATATGCATCGATAATGGTAAAATAGTGATAATCTGACAAAATTTGTTTTGTTTTACAGCACCCTACATGTGCATCTCCACCATGAATGTGTTTTAAAAATAGGCCAAAACTATGGTAAAACAGTGTCTCAAACTGCAGGCCACATATTCTTAATCATTTTATGTTATAACTTTATGTGATGTAGCTTTTAGAGGCATTAAACTCTTTAGATGTCTGGTTCCTATCACCAGTAAAGTCAACTATTCTGACTCAGCAAGTTTCTCACAGTAGAACATTTCACTTCAGACCACTTGGAGTGACTTTGTTCTGTTGTACTTTGGAAAACGCAGATGTCTTTTGAGTAGACTTTTTGTCTGAGTTTTCAACTAGTGTATTATAAATTCCTGGGCAAACAAGTAGAACTTCTATTACTATTACTGTTTTCTCTATATGTGAATAGCATTGAGACTAGGGGTGGGTGATATGGCAAAAATATAATATTGCAATACTTTGACATTTTCATGTCAGTATTATGTTTTGCAAAGATTTTGTAAGTTGGAATAGGAAAACACCAACTGGACTAACTTTCACTGATTTGTTTTTCAATTTTTTGACGAATCAATTGGACTTTTTAAATCTAGGACTAGATTTAAAAAGATCATAAAAACTGAGTACAATTATTTGTTCAGTTTTACAGTTTTATTGTGCTGAACTAAATCCAGTTAAACCAGTTAGCACTAACTATGCTCTTTATTTGATGAAACATGCATTCTCAGAAATGTTTGTTGTAATGTAACTAAATACCGATACCAGCAACATATCGCCACCTCTAACTTAGACCCACTCAAATTCCACATTCAGTGTGAAATTACTCTTTGATGTTGTATTTTATTTTCTGACTTCCATGACTTTAATATTTTGCTACTTTTACCCTCCTTCTCTCAGGTGGCTGGAGCGTACTCAAAGACATGGTCCTATAGGGAAGATGCATTACTGGCTGTGTGCAAGAAGCTGACAGAGGTTGCTCCCGGAACTCCTAAAGCAGAACTGAGAAACATGATGAGAGCAGCAGTTTTCCTCTGCAAGAAAGCACTTTCTGATAAAGTGTCATCAGTAAGTCAAGAGTTGCTATGTCTGTCTCACGGTCTCAACTTACATGTGTGCTTTTTTTATTTAGTTTTTTTTGTCAGCTTTATTTTTGTCAGCATGACATGTGTGTTTCTGATTTTGTGTTCTGCAATCATTGTTTCCACCTTAAGACACTGACATGACCCAGGGGTTAGGGACAGCAGTGCCTCAGTGGGGCAGGGCCAACAACTCAGCACACAGTAGAGAGCAGATGAAAATCCACAAAGCAGGAGTTTCTCAATTAATTAGATAAACTCAAAGTCATAAGAGTAAAGCTAAGAGGCATTCCTATTGGACTAGTCTTGGTACCGGACACCTTGACTTCCGCAAGGTAACAGGAAATTTAGTTTGCAGTTTGCAGTTGAAGAGAGTGGACCTGATTTGGTACACTAGCTTCCATCTCTTCCTATTAGATACCACTCTGAAAAATATCAATAGAAAATCCCGCCTTTATGGCCGTCTAAATGGTCCGTTCCACAGATGAGCCCCTCTAGCTAGCAGTCTTAGCTTTAGATAAAACATGTTGTCTAATAGCTTGCTAAGTTTTTCAGATATAGAATGAATATTAACAGAATGTGTTTAAAGCATTTTCAGAGGTCTGCTGGATTCATCCGAACTATTTAGTAAATGAGTTTGAATTCCTGCATGCTAGAAAAATGACAGACATTCCTTTGTAATCAGGGCTGATTCCACAGCCATGATTCAATTATTCCAAGTTAAAATAATAAGAATAATAATTCAGGTAATATTTTATCACCTGAACTTCAAAGTCACTATTAGATAATCATCACTTTGAGCTTAAGTGATCCACCTTACTGAGAAATCCTGCTTTGTGAAATACCCTCCTGTCCAGTTTCTAAGGTGAAGTTGACAAAATAGTAGTCTGTGCACTGTCAAAGTTCCCAGGCTTTTACTAAACAGCATCTGCCCATGCCCCAGTGAAGTGAAAAGATGGTCTTCCTTATTGTGTATTAAAGGACGCACATATTGAAAAACCATGATTCCCTTGTTTTGTTGAAATAGAAGAGCTTAATGTAGCATGTAAACATTATTACAGTTTCGAAACAGACTGTTTACTCTCCAGTCCATACAGTCCATTTATGGAAACTGCTGCAAAACCAACACATTTACATATATCTACCTATTCAGCCTATAGCAGTTTAGCCCTGCCAATTTAAGCTAAAGTTATAAGTAGTGTTTCAGCCCAGACTTCTTTCTGAAAAAGGCACAATAAAGGGCAGCCAGTCAGAGCAGAGATTATTTACATATTAAATCTTAAAGACACAGTGATTAAAAAACGTTCTTTAAAGAGAGATTGGAAAATGGTCATGTGAAAATGAATTATGACTGTTTTCATAAATAGACCTCAAATATAACAAAATTATAGGATATGGGCTCTTTAATAAGGATTCAAAGAATAGATATTGGTGTGATATTTAGTTGATTATTTTATATTATAGATATATAATATATAGACCAACTGACACTGACCCAGTCAGGCTTATCTGTGGAATCTGTTAATGAAGTCTTTAGTTCAGTTTACAAAAGACATGATTAATAGTGAGAACAACCTTGTCTTCAGTTAATGTGAAACCATCCAAGGCAATGTTAACACGTCCTTCCAGTGGATAGCAAAAAGGTCGCTGGCCAAAGTCATAAGATGGGGATAGTCACAAGATGTCACAGATATCCTGCTGGTTGAGGTGCCATATGCAGGCAGTTATTTCAGCTGAACACAGACTGATGGTGCAGAATATGAAGAAAGCAGATATTTATGTAAGTCAGTAATTTTCAGATAGAGAATTAAATAATCATAGAAATGTAAACATGCATATTTGTCACACTTTAATGTCTCAGATCATCAAACTCCTTTTAGTATTAGACAAAGATAATCCAAGTAAATCCAAAATGCTGTTTCTAAATGATGATTTCATTCATTGAAGGATAAATGCTATTCAACCCTACCTGGCCCTATGTGAAAAAGTAATTGCCCCCTGAGCTGCTAAATCAACCAGTTAACCAAATTCAATTGACTGTTGGGTTCAGTTTCACTAGTCACACCCAGACATGATTACTGCCAGATCTGTTGAATCTAAACATCACTTACATAGAACCTATCTGGCAGTGGGAAGCTGGTTAGAAGGTGTCAAAAAGCAGCACATGATGCCATATTCTAAAGAGATTCAAATACAGATGTGAAACAAAGTCATTGAAATGTATAAATCTGGAAAGGCTTACAAAGCCATTGCTAAGGCTCTGGGACTACAGTGAACCACAATAAGAGCCATTATCCTTCTCAGGAGAGTGAACCTTCTCAGACCTTCCCAAAATTTCACCAAGAGCACATCGACGACTTATCCATGAGGTCACAAAAGAGCCCAGACATACTTCTAAAGAACTGCAGGCCTCACTTGCCTCAGTGAAGGTCAGTGTATGTGATTCCACAACAAGAAAGACATTGGGCAAAAATGGCATCCATGGGAGAGTTGCATGGTGCACACATCTTGGTTGGTTTTTACATTAACTGAAGACAAGGTTGTTCTCACTATTAATCGTGTCTTGTAAACTGAACTAAAGCCTTCATTAATAGATTCCACAGATAGGCCTGACTGGGTCAGTGTCAGTTGGTCTATATATTATATACCCATAGTATAAAATAATTAGCTAAATAAATGACCCCAGTATTCTTTGGACTGATGAGTCCAAGGTGGAACTTCTTGGAAGACATGGGTCCCGTTACATCTGGCATTTCACCATTAGAACATCATACCAGCAGTCAAACATAGTGGTGGTCTGGGGCTGCTTTGCTTCTGCAGGACCTGGATAACTTGTCATAGTTGATGGAACCATCTCCACCTGTTAGTTCATGACCTAAAGCTCAAGCACAGTTGGGTTATGCAGCCAGGCAATGAATCAAAGCACACAAGCAAGTCCACCTCTGTATGGCTCAAAAGAAAGAAAATTGAGGATTTTAATTGGCTAAGTCCTGAATTTAGGGGAGGTTTAAGGAAGCAGTTACTTTTTCACATGGGTGATACACCTTTTGAATAAATCTTTATCTTCAATAAATGGAGTAGTCATTTAAAAGTAGCATTTTGTGTTTACTCGTGTTGCCTTTATCTTATATTAAAATTAGTTGGATTTTTAGTTTATTGTAGTGAATCATTTTGCTAGTTAGGGCTGCTTAATTACAGCAAAAATCGTAATCACAATTATTTTGGTCAGTATTGAGATTATGATTGTTTAACAAGAATACTCATTGACTTTGGAAACATTATGCATTGATTGACATGTTACAAAATGTCTTTTAACAGTGGATGTCATTTATCTTTAAATATAATTAGACTGAAAAACAAATAAAAAAAAATAAAGGAAAGGGTTACGCTGGATTTAAAACACAAGACAAAATGAGAACATCATTGTGAAATGCAATGTGGCACAATAACAGTTTTATCTTGATTATCTTGTTTTCATAATCATTGGAAGCCAAAATTGTAATTGAAATTAAGTTTGATTAGTCACCCAGCCCTTCTCCGATCATAAAAATCTTTCCAAATCAAGTAAGTATGTTGGGACTATACTACTATACTACCTCTGCTGTTACACTTAGAAAAGGAAACTGTGCTTATGTACTTAAAGGGCCCGTATTCTTTTTTTATAGCGCAGTCTGCTTATAACATTTACGTGGTTTTATGTGCCAAAAACAGTCATTATTCATTTTTACAACCTCTCTTTTTTACTTAGAATTAAACAAGCCATAGGATAGGTTTGGATAGGTGGATATATGTAAAGCATTGGTTTTTATGACATCACAAAACATTACTGTTTTTGCAGCTTAGTCTCCACATGGATTATACAGTCTGGAAAATGAACAATACATTAGGAAGCTTGAACAATGTTTACTTATTATGTCAAACGTTTTATTTCAAAAAAGAAAGAGGATTTTGTTTTTTTTCCTGCAATAACAAGAGTTTGTCATTGATTTGAAAAGGACTATCAGTGAGCATTAATGTTATGTGACACTAGTTCACCCCAAAGACTTTTTCTCAGATTTTATCTTTTTACATGTTTGTGGAGTCTTTATATAGCTGTCAGGTCTCTGGTTAATCTCTTATGGTAGAATTCTGTTATACGATCCCTTAAATCTCCGGCTCTTTTCAGGGGTTCATTCATAAACTCTTAAAAACAGCAGCAGTGAGAAGCTGAACAATGCGGGCCCAGTGCTGGATACATTCCCAAAGCTTTCTCCCTAAGGTCGTTTAGTTGAACAAACACAGCACAGGCTTTAACAGTCAGCAGCTGTAGCTGCTGTTAACAGCATCTCTGTGCTGTGGCAACCAGTAAAATTCTCCATTGGTTTCAGATTCTCTGCGTAACTTTTAAGAAATTTATTTTCAGTTGTACAGAGAAAGAGAGAGTGAAACAGTTTAAGACACTGTATCTTAAGCTTATATTCAGGCAGTAAGACTTACAACACTTTGTAACTTGTGATGGCTTTGATAAACAGGTCTTATCAGTGCTTCTACAACACTGCATATATCATAAAAAAGGCAGAACAATTATAAAGAGACTGAAAACAACACCAGCCACTGTATAGTAACTGCATAAACTCCATAGTAACAAGTAGCTGACTGGATGTTTTCCCATTCTGTCATATATTATATCATTCACTTGTTGGGTTTCCCTCCTGTTATTTTATAAGTAGTTTATTTTTGTACATGTTTAATTTCAAAGAATCAATGTGCTTGTGGTTTTTCATACCATTTTTTAGTGACGTTCCAGTTCATAATAGCTAAATATTGTGATACAAACTATGTATCACCAAAATGGAATTTAAAGTTAAAGTACTGTACAATTTTTTTACTGTTGCCATCGCACCCGCCATTACGCGTATGCTGAACTGATTTATGTGTTTATATTTGCATTTTGAGTAAGAGTCTCTCAGTGCTGCTACGCTGGCACAGTCTTCCCTTCGGAGCAAGAGCTGATATTGAACACAGACCTTCTGTTCTGACAAGTCATACGATTTCCTTCGCTGGTCATGTTGGCCAGAATGAGTGATGGAAGGTAGTGATCCATGTCTGTTTCAGAGCTTTACATTTTTTCCCTGTTTTGGGCAGTTTGGCTCCCACCATCTTTGTTTGTTTTGTCTTATTGCTGGACACTTAATGTAGTGGAAATTTGTCTCAGCAAAGTTTTTGTTATAAACCATAGAGCAATTTTCACAGATAATAGAGGAGAGTGGGCCACAATCTAATGCAGGGTGAAAAATAACACATTGATATTTTAAACAGGTTAAAACAAAATGTACAAGAACCTCTTCCTGTGAATTTTAACAGCCATTAGACAGATATTTCTCAGAATTCATGCCTGAAGACTGATTAACTTTCTTCATCATACATTTTGTTTGACTGCTTGTCACAGAATTCACATCTACAGTCTAATGCAAAGGTGAAAATAAGCTAACACATCCTCTACAGGAAACTTAAATATGGTATTTTTTCTGCAAATTGTAACGTTCCATGTGTATTTATTTGCTTAGTTGTTAAATTCAGTAAATAAACAGTAAATGCACAAATGCTTGTGTAAAAAATGAATCTTATTTAGCACATTTAGAATTATCTAGCAAAAACCTGTGAGGTTAGGCTGTGCCCCGTTCTTCCCTACTATATCCGCTTTTAAAAATGAAGATACTTTCTGTTTCTAGATACTGCAACTACTACTTACCGTATAGGCTGCTTATGTAATAATTTGACAGAGTGCTTGTGCAGTAATTTGGCAGTGCACATAAGGTCTGCTAAAGCAGAGAGCCAGAAGCAAGTCTGACTGAAAGAGGAGTTTGTACTGGCTGTGGTACCGTTTGGACAGCCTACCTGGGCTGTTTGCAAAGTCATCATGGCTAGTTTGCAAATTGAAGTGTCACAGAACGTCAACATTTTATGCTAAAATACTTGTCAGTTTACAACATACGTATTGTGTTCTACGACTTCATAGGGTTCAGCCAATTTGTAAAAAAAATTAAGAAATTTTAAATGTTCACAGTGATGAACAGGGCTATACAATGCTGTACTGTATAATACAATATGTAACATATATGTAATATAATATTGTAAAATGTAATAATGTGTCTCATATGTATTATATACACTAACACTCACACAAGCAGCTACACAAACACACCTTGAAGGCCTTCAGATTTTTTTCTCATGTGTGTCTAAAATGGCTGAAGGAGATATTTCTGAGGAGTTTCCAAAACTGGAGTTCAAAAAAATTGTTAAAAGCATAAAGGTAAATATATAAATATTTAATAGTATGTTACATATCATTTAAACACTTATTGTTACCAAGTTGAAATATTCAATAAAACAAATTAAACTGAATAGAAATACCTTCTACTGTTCAGATTATAATATTTCTGTTTACATTATATATGTTTTTATTGAATAAAATAACAATTATTAATGACAAGTGATTCCAGACTTTTGGACAATAGTGGTTATAAGTCACTTTAACAGCAGAGAATCTAAACAGAAAACATTATAGTAAAACATAATGCAGTGTAGCTTAGGTAGAGTCGTAGGCTTTCATAAAAATATGTTTAAAATCTCAGCAATAAATGTGTTTTTGCAAGTGACAAAATTTCCAAAACAGTTATTAATATCTTGTGAGCTGGTTAGAAGAACCTGAGAAGTTGTCTGACTTCTTTATATTGTGTCCTCCGACAAACTGAAGCAGGTGCTTGCATTCAGCTGTCTGTGTGTGCATGTTAAGAAAAGAGAAAAATACTGCGTTGGATTTAACATTTGTAATGTTGATGTCTGTTATGTTTAGTATATGTATAACAGCAGATTATTGTCTTGTCCAGGTGTTCCAGGCTTCTCTGAAGCTGCTGAGGATGATTCTGAGTGAATTTGTGTCCTCCCACCAGCTGAGCAGATCTGAGGTCAGTTACTGTGTGGAGCAGATCTGGCCGGCACTTCTGTCCCGCACTGGCGAGTCCACACCGAGGCTCCGGACACTTGCCATCACTTTCATACAGGTAACATACACATATCAGTTTATTGCTGCCTTGATAAGAGAACAGGAAAAATGTCCAGAGTCTATCAGAGTGGTTTGATGTGAAATGCTTTGTGCTGTAGAGAAACCTACAGAGTCAGAATTTTCACAGTGGTGGTGATTTTTTTTAAAGTAGAGGAGAGCAATGGTACATGCAAGGTGTTGTGAGCCAAAATAGTCCCTAAAAAAACGAATGCAGAAATTTTAAAAAATCTGTGAAAATCCCCTTGAAGTCTGGTCTGTTTGGCTGAGGTTGGGCCACTCACTCAGCACAGGTATCTTTACACATACCAGAGACATTGCCCCTTATTCATAAAAGTTGTATGTGGTCAGATCTGATCGTAAAATGAGTGCATGTAAATTTCACTGTCATTTTTCTAATTCATCGGTTTCATCTTTAGCGTATCTGTATGATCAAACTCATGACTAGTAGAAGCAGGTGTAAATTTGAGCATTATAGTTCAGCAGCCTGAAAAAAATGCTTGATTTGTGATTAACCAACCAAAACTATTATTGAAAGGATCTATACTATCAATAATAAGAATATAAATAGAAAATATTAATAATCTGTGCACATGGCAACCCAGTACAAAAGTGAATGTACTTAATTTACATGCACATTAGTATAAACAAATGCTATAACTACTCCATTCTCTTTTTAAAGACATATTACACTCTGCTTTTGTTTTATGCTACTGACATCACTCAAAAGATAAAAAAATACAAAACATAGCATGTGCAGAAGCATCTCCTTAGACAAATAATCACGTTACACAATCAAATTATTGTACCGTCTTACAAAAAGAAAACTAAGATTTTCGTTTATTTCACATTTCATTCTTTCCATTTGTAATACTGTTATCAAGTTTGGTCAGTATTGCATTCACTGAAGCTGATTCATCATTAGCAATTCTCTGCTGGTTTTCTTGTTGTACGAAAATTTCATGAATCAGACGCTGGGTAGTTTGTACATCATTAAAGGCGGTCAAATCTGCGCTCTTTTTATACAGATTTGTGGAATAAGGGCCGTTGTTTCATGAAAGTTTTGAGATACGTCTTTAACCTCAAACATTTTTTTTTTTAAATATATTTGTGGTGTGGAGAGTACAAGGCAAAATATTACCTAGTGGAAAACTTATTTTTTAAGATTTAACATTATTTTACCATCATCACCAATACATAATACATAAAAACTCAGGAGACACATGTAGGTTCACTGGTGCATTTGGGAAATAAGTAGAACGGGCATATTTGCAACTTCTGGTTCCTGTCACCACCACTGTGACCTGTGAACTGTCTGTAGAATAGAGCATTTCATGTCAAGCTCCTCTGAATGACTTTGTTTACATCTCATCAACCGATTAGTGAACAAATAAAAAAAAAAATAAAATAATAATAATAATCTGATGCATGTTTTAGTTACCTAAAGCTACAAAGGCAAAGCATAAGTTTTCAGTTAATTTCATGTATAAGGAACAAAAGAACATAGTTATTAGATTGTAAATATCACGTAGTATCAGTTTTTTGTAGGATCAGGATGTGTATGTGTGCCTCAGTTTGTCAGACCCTCTTCAAAATTCGGGTATCTATAGCGAAATTCTATATTTGTGAGACACAAATATGCTGACTCAATGATACAGTTAGCTAAGGGCACTCCTGTTGAAATATTAGAACCAGGAACTGAGGCAGTATGCTCACGCTTTTGTGTCATACTGTGTGCTGACATATCGCATTTTAGCACCGGGGCATTAAGGGATCAGTTATAGATTTGGTTTACGGAAACATTCTACTTAGTCGCTGGTTTTCACCCCTGTGGCTACTTTTTGAACATACACTTTACCTTCAGGATAGTTATACAACTCTTCCACAGTTAGATTTGACCTACTTCTCTACTTCAGTATCAGTGAGCAATGGATTTTGGATTGTAACACAAATGCTTTACTGCATTCATATCATTTTCTCATCTACTCTTTCTTCCAGTTTTAAGATTTGTCCCCAATTTTTTTTTAAATCGTGTTGGAGTGGCATTTGTAATCCAGAACTAATTACCCAACATCAGTATTTAATCCCACTAAAGTTTTTGTGGCTGAATCAAATGAAATCCTTACAGCAGTGTTTCAAAATCTACTGTCTAATATAGCAAAGTGGGGACAAACCGGCTATAAATACCTTGATTTGGAAAAGCAGGTGTCTACAAATATTTGGGCATGAATTGTTTGAGGCTAATGTAACACATAATGAATGGTTATACACCACCAAATACTACCCAAATCATATTAAGCTGTTATGTAATCTTAAAACAGAATTTCATTCCATGGCTTTTTAAATTTGTGCATGAATCAATGGTTATAATGTAAGCAGTCAGTGTCATTCAGAGTGGTTTGATGTGAAATGGCTCATTGTAGAGAAATTTACCGACTCAGATTTCTTTACAGTGGTGTTAATAGGAGCCAAGGATGACAATCTTTGCAACACAAATATAAACATTTTATGTACCATCCAAAATTACCAGTGACATAACGCAAGTCTTCTGAGTTTTTATACATAATATTAATAATGGTAAAATAGTGATAAATCTGAAAAACATTGTTTTATTTGGGGACTAATTTGCCGCACAGCGCACTGCATGTACCCTTTCAACATGTATGTAGGTTTCAGGCAACTTATTCCATGTAAAAGCTTTCTGTGAGGGTTTTTATTCAGTTTTTTTGAAACAAACTCTTCAAACATTTGGTTCCCATGAACACTGCAAACAATTCTGACTCAGTAAGTTTCTCTAAAACTGAGATTTCTCATCGAACCATTCTGAATGACTTTGGCCTAATCCCATTTCTTACTTTTACTTCACCTTGCCCCTTGGAACTGAGTTACAAGAGATAGTGGTTGAAATCTTCCCCTACGAAATGGGACCCTCAAATAAAAAAGGACATTACTTCATTAACAGGGTACTAGCGGTGCTCTGTAGGGAGCACTGCCAGTCTGCAGTGATAGCAGAGGAAAAGTTCAGCAACCTCGCTGCTGGTCTTAATTAAATTTAGGGCCTTCCAAGAAGGAGGAGCTGACAGTTGTTTATTGCCCACCCTAATTCTTCGGTGATGTGAAGTTGTAGTTAGCTAATCGCCAGCTTCTTATTTGAATTTTCCCGTTCTACCTTAAATGGCCCAGGAGTTCTGATGCCTGAGGCGCCAGAACGTAACTGCTGCACCATTTAAGGTGAAACGGGAAATTTAGCTAGCTACCAAGACATACTAGCGATTTTTTATGCTTGTTATGAAGAACAGGACCATACTACATTGAAAGAACACTAAATTAAGATAAAACAATGATTATTGTAATATTTTAACAGAGAAAATTCCTACATTTGTGAGTTTCTTTGGTCGCTTGTGCAGCCATCTTGCTGCTTTTTCTTTTATCTTCTAACACTCTGTTTGGAGTGTGTCTCTGAGAAACCTCCGTTTGGAGGGCCACACAGCCCTAACACTTCACCCTCCCCCTCCATCGCAACAAAAATTGGGACACCCTATTCCTAAACATGAACGTGCAAAATGGAAGGGTTAAGTGGGGCAAGAGGTGAATTGGGCCTTTCTTTATATCTTGATGAACTAATTATGCAGAAATTTTGAAAAACAGTAAAATTCCTCTTTAAATACACTTGCGTATGTAGCTTTTGTCACTATGACGTACTGTTATTCCAAAAATAGACAAAAGTTTGTTGTAATCCCAGAAACAGTTTGCCATGTTGAAGCTTAAATTTTTACTGTACTTTTTACATTTTTCTTGTTTTAAAATGATCCAAAACATCGCTTTAAACCAAATCTTTAATATCGGTATCGGTGTGCTTTAGTTACATGGAGGTGGTTTTTCAGCTGGATGGAAGTCTGAAATTGAGAGAGGTAATCGGAGCTGTGACCTAATCCAGTTACTTTGCCAAAAGCTGTTTTCTTGTGTATGAGAAAACTCTCTCTAGAGACTGTCTCACTCTCTCTCCCTCACTCTCTCTCTCCCTCTCTCTCTCTCTCTCTCTCTATTTCTCTCTCTCCCACTCTCTCTCTCTGAGGATTTTGGCATTCACCCTCTGTTGGGCAGTAGTCAGTAGGCTGACTGAGAGCTTGTCTCAGTGTAGGAGCAGCTGTTAGATCATACTGCCTCCCTGGCTCTCCACAGCAATTCACTAATTAAAGCAGCCAAAGCAAATCCAACATATGAATGGAGCTTTTGTCACTATGTTCTGTCCTCTAATGATCTTTAATATTGCCTCACTTTACACAGGCAGACGCTCAATAAATGATTTGACAATTATGAGCCTTTACAAAACACACATTAGACTGTGCATAAAAACGTGACACCTGACACGTAACCACAGAAAAGTGAAAAAGTCAGAGTAATGTGAAAGGGTGGGTGTCAAACCTGTGCACATAGCCTGTGTCAAAAAATGTGGTTTGGAATGTGGCATGGAACGTTTTACGTCTTAGAAGGGAATTCCAGTGATTTTTCAAATTTTCAGCATAATTCAGTCTTTGAGCTGTAATCTAAACCAGTGTTTAGATGAGAAACTGTTCCTTGAAGAGAAACTCACAGATGCAGATTTCTTTTCACTAATAATAAGAGCCAAGTGTCTCTGTGTCTATAAGGCAAATATAGCTATTTTATTCACTATCCAAAATGACCAGTAAGGGGCTGTTTTGCGTTTCACTGCCTTGCATGTACCTCTGGTTCATGCCACCACTGTTGTGAACAGTTGTTGCTCTTTTTCTCTTTCTTTATTTTTTTTTTAATCTAAAGACCCAGGATGTAACTTTGGTGTACTAATGGACTCTGACCTCAGTTTTAGCGGTCATGTCAAAGCAGATACTAAATCACCATTTTATCACCTTAAGAACATCAACAAGATCAGAGATTTTCTGACTAAAGCAGACCTGGAGAAACTCAGCTCACACCGTTTTTCTAGCAGGATTGATTACTGTAATAGTCTCCTAACTGGACTCCCAAAAAAGACGATCAAACAGCTTCAGCTGATTCAAAATGCAGCTGCCAGAGTCTAACTAGGAGTAAAAGAAGGAAACACTGGGGTTGTGAATTTGCACTGTGTATCTAATTCATTTACATTTTATGCAAGAAAAGTGTGTTCTGTCAGATATTATACAGTTAGTTCTGACAGCACAGTCTGACTGGTTGAGAAGTGTTCTAGCCATGCTGTTATTTGTGATATTTGTCATATTGTGCTTTTGGAACTAACTGTCTTATAATTTGTGATATAATAAAATTTTCTAGCATAAAATATAATTTAAAGTGGTTTTTTTTTCCACAACAACTTAGCGTTTCACTGAGCACTGGTTGCTAAGTAACGACTGCTTCTCAGCTAACTGTTAGTTTCTAGTGTTGTTGCCACTAATCAGTTTTTTCTGTTGGCTGCTGTGTCGGAACAACTTAACAAACTGGAATAAAACACAAAGTTAGCTAAAAGAAGGCAAACTCACATCAAATCACTTACTAAACTTAATCACAGTACTAAAAGAGGAGCTTTCTTTAACTGGGATTTGTAGTAGGTGTAAAGGACACCACTCTCTTAACTACAAGTCATTTGATGTGATTTTGCTTTATTTTGGCTAAATACATTGGAAATATGCTATGCACTGTTTAGGTTCTTTAGGTTCTATGTTCTTTAATGACTAAAATGTCAGGTATGTGCTTTGCAAACCATTATGTGTAGCAGAATGTAACGAAAGACTAAAATATATTTGTTTAAAGTTTGTTTTCTGTCTTTCAGGAGTGAGAAAATGTGATTTGATCATTTTTATCATGTTTATTTCTTCTTGTGTTGTATTGCTTGATACTGGCATAAATTGGAATATTTTCCACTGTTCTGTGAAAAATGCTTCTGGGAATATTTCTATATTGAAAATACTATATTGTGCTAGAAAAAGCATATTGTACATTTTTTATCATGAAATGTTTGTATCGTTACACCCCTACTCGGGTATATTTGTGTCTAACAATTACAAAAATGTCCTTGTATATTTGTTTTTACGCATGTGTGTCTGTCTCTGCAGGAAATGGCTGTGTATAAGGAGGTCCGTGCTCTACAGCTGGTGCCCACTGAGTTGGTGAAGCCCATTAAGAGCAGCCTGCCTGCACGGCTGGCCCTCAGCAGGATCGAGCTGCTGGAGAAGCTTCTGGAACAGCTTGGCACCAAAGATTCCGGCTTTACCCTCGAAAACGTCATGCGGGTATAGACGTCACTCACGTTTCCGCTCATTAGTGAGGTCATCTCACCCAGGCTGCGTCCCAAATCACTCTCCCTCCTTTCCTGCTCCCACGGTCCTTTTCTAGCAGACCTCCACCTCTGCTCCTCTCATTCTTCAGTCGCTATAACATTCTAAATCCTGGCAGCCATTGTTTGTATGCAGCTGAATGGTGTGAAAAGCACGTATGTAGATAAACTGTGCTTGCATGACCTCTTCAGTCAATACATAGTAGAGAGAACCGTATTTATTGGCACCACAGAGCCAGACAATCCGCACCCATGTCCCGTAACAAGCCTTACGTACCTCTGTGACTGAGGTGATCTCAGCTCATGGCCCAAATGATTCACATTTACACTCCCAACTCTCCACAGTTTTGTCACTAACTGTATGATTACATGCTTTTAAAAGCCTACTGAAACCATAATGGCATGTGTGTGAGCCTAGTACTGGCCAATATATCATCTATTCCAGTGTTGGTGTCACACAGTAATATTGGTTTTTAGTTTTACGTTCTGTAGTGTCATTTGCTGGGTGCTTCGGATTGTTTTGGAAGAACACATTAAACTTGGGGCCCGACTAATCTGAACATTTTGTGGCCAATACAGATACCGATTTTAAGAGGCTAAAAGTTCCAATAACCTACAATAACAGCCAGTATAATTTTATATTTATATCAGATTTTAGTTTTATACCCCAATAGTTTTAGTTAAACCGTGCTTTACTGGCTGATGTGACTGTTAGTTCTCAATTGTTACATTTCTCAAATAAACAGCAAAAACTCACAGTCTTAAATAGTTTAGACATTACACCACTGTGTGGGTGAAGCTGCACAGAATTCTTTTCAGTTTTGGCTTCTGTCAGTTACTTCTTACTTTCCTTATTTTTCATTTGTTTCGTATGTTATTCCAACCACGATAGTGTTATGTTAATTTTTTTTTTCTATCATCCGGACATCATAAAATCGAATCCCTGCGATGTTCCTCACTCCCATAACAACTTAACTTACACGGTAGTTTCATAGTACTTACTGAATAATTCAAAGTAGTTATCGAATCGGCTTAAGATTGATCGGCTTAAGATTTTTTTCTCCTACATGACAGAAACATGCTTCCATTCAAAGTCATGTGAATCAAACAAGGGGTGTATATTGCGTTCAGTGCACGCTTTACCCTACAAGTAACATAAGCAGATGCTTAGGGGCACGTGTCCACTAGGATGCCCCCAAGAGCTTCTGGGGCTACTGTACCATTATGTTTTCTAAGATGTTCGAATGGGGAGAAAAAAAACAACTGCTATACATCCAGAGCTGAAAAACGAAAAATAAAAAGAGAAGATGAGGATGAGAAAAAAAATCAGGTATAAAGGTATGTTTTGTATTTTGGTAGTTCTGAGTCCCAAAGCAGCCTAATATTGCTTTTTAAACTTAAAAGTAATCATCTGTTCTAATAATGAAGTTTTTATCAACCGTTTTATCCGTTTCAGTGTTAAATCTCAGTGTGTGACTGTGGGCGTGGTCCAGTCCGCTACCCCGCCACATATTAACAGTTTGATTGGTCACCACTCAGGTCATTTGCATGAAGTTCATCCAAAACAAGAGAGCAGAGAGAGGATGTGAGCCAGTGATCTGATATGTCAGTTCTGTGTGTATATTGTCATCTCTCACCTCATTATGAGGCACATTCTCTTTGATGTAAATTAGAAAAAAAGAAAATGAAAAAGGCAAACCGTTTTGCATGACATCATCAGTCACATCATGTATATGCTGCTAAAATTTTAGCATCCACAACTTAAAACACTTTTCCATGTCCCTGCCTTCACAATACCTGACAAACAGATGCGGCATGTTGTACAACAGTGGTTAACAGCTTTCTCTGTTAATCCAGGTTCAGATACTGACCAGGTTTGACTGCAGCATCAAATAAATACCACTGTTAAAAATTAATCCCATGAAAAAAAACACAAAAAAGTATTTAGAACTTAAACTTTTGCATTTACAGTGTGCTGTCTAAAAATGTTTTTGACAAAAAACGCCAAACAAAAGTTGCTTTTCTTGTTGTGAATGCCCCCAGTTTTTCTTTTTCATGCCAATCATTAGAATAGTTTTGCGGAGGTATTAGGCTGAAACAGAAAAGCTTTTGTATGTCAGAGCGGGTGGCGTCTGTGTGTTTGGCTCTTTAACAGAGAGGAACTGGACAAAAGCAGTCACTGCTGGACTCTACGCAGTTAGACTCAATCCTTCAGCAGCTTCAATTGAGGAGCTCTGCTTCTAAAGATTGCATGTAAACCATCCAAGTGCTGACAGAAACTCTCTCTCTCTCTCCCTCTCTCTCTCTTCCCCTCTCTCTCTTTCTGTTTTTTCCCCTTTCTCTTTATTTGCCCACTCTCTCTTTCTCTCCTCTTTCCCTCTCTCTCTTTCTTTCCTTTCTTACACTCTCTCCCTTCTCTCTCTCTCCCTCCTTTGTCTTCATCTCCTTCATTCTCTTTCTGTCCTCTCCCTCTCTCCTCTCTGTCTCTTTTTGTTTCTCATTGCCATCTTTCCCTTCTCTCTCTCTCTCCTCTGTCTTTATCTCCCTCACTCTTTCTTTCTCTCTCTCCTCTCCATCTCTGTTTTTGTCCTTCTCCATCTCTCTCTCTCTCACTCTCTCTGTCTCTTTATCTTTCTCACTTCCTCCTTCTCTTTCTCTCTCTCTCACCTCCCCAGCCCTTTCTCTCTCTCTGCCTTTCCCTCCTCCCTCTACCCCAGTTCTGTCTTTCTGCAGGCTGTTAACAGTGGTTGATATCTGCTTGGGTTTCTTTGTGTGTGTTTTTGTCGGGCACCTGTGCAGCCTGAAGAATGTTTGGTGGGTAAACTGTTAGGTCTGCAGCAACAATAGCCATCAGAGTTTCACATGTATCTGTAATCAGGGTCTGAAATCTTTTCTGCTGTGGCTGGTATTTAGGTGCAGGGCTGGTATCTTGGTCCTCAGGCTCTGGTGTGTAACTGCAGTAGAGGATTTGAGTTTCATACCTTTTGTACACTCATTGTTTTTGACACAGAAATACAGTCTGAATATTGAGAGAATTGAGAGAATTGTGTTCAGCAGACCAAAGGTGAATTTTCAAGAGCTGGAGAGTCACTGGTCAGCATTTTCAGATACACTTTCAGAAACAAATGGATGTTTTTGGAGGTTTAACAATGTTGTATTGTGATAGAATGCGTCTGAAACTGCTTTCTGTTACAGGAAATTGTGCTGTATATGTGTCAGCCAGTAGTTGAGTGTTGCATATCTGCAAGTACAGTGCCCTCCAGAAATATTGGTACCCCTGGTAAACATGATCAAAACGAGCTGTAAAAACATTTTTATTGCTTCTTTTTTTTATCTTTCATTCAAAATATTAGTAAATATCTAACTTTTATTTGAAGTACAATGAATGAAAAAACCTAAATCTTATCATGAAAAAAAAGATTTTCCCAAAATATTTTTGCCACAGTTGTTGGCAGTCCTAGAAATTCTTATCAGTGAAATCTTACTGTATATTCCCATTCATATTGTATATTTTATATTTCACCTTAGCGATTAGAACACTTAAATGGTCAGCAGTGACTTCCTGTTTCACTGGGGTGTAAATATGAAGTGACACACAACTCAAATTCCTTAGTCATCCATCACTGTGAGGAAAACCAGAGGATTTATGCATGGCAAAAGGTTGTTGAGCTGCACTAATCAAGAAATGGCTACAAGAATATAGCTAAACAGTTGAAAATACCCATTAAAGGTTTAAAGCAAATGGAGATGTTAAAGGAGCACTATACGATTCTGAAGAAAGATTGTTGATATTTGAACTCATTGCCAACACGCTTGTTTAAAACCCTTTGCAAATGTTGTACAGACAAATACCAGATATAACATTAGAGTGAGCAAGGACACAGCAAGTAATGTAACTGACTAAAAGCTAGGATGTGGGTTAGCAAGCTGTCGCTACAGTTTCTGCTGTAAAGCTAACCAGCTGCTATCACAAACATTCGCAAACAGGACAAAACAGTACTGACCTATTGATTCTGTGAAACAGCAAAATTTTTTGCTTGTTCGAATTTTCCTGTTTCACCCTAAAAGGTGCAGCAGTTAAGACTACATTCTGGCTCCTCTGCTTCTTGTTCGAATTTTCCCTTTGCATGTACGCTGAGTGGGCAGTCACTGTCTGGGGAGGGCAAAACAAAACGTCGGGAGGGCCGACGTTTTCACAGGGTACTATGCACACACAGACTAACATGCATGCATGGCCGGACCGGCTATGAAAACAAAAAAACTGAGAAGCTTGTGACTTCATTCTCTGCTTAGGACGCTATTACACAACTGTGTCTTTACATAGTAAAATAGCTGTTTGCTGCTATATTAATGTTTCAAAATGTTGTAAATATTACTTTTAAGAATCTGCCAGAAGGAGGTTGTATGTCCATGTTGACCCCACACACAGTGTGGCTCTCCACAGCTAGGGAACTGCAGACATTAAGTAGGTCTTAGGGTCAGAATGTCTCCCAAATTACAATCAGATGCCACCTATATAACCACTAGCTGTTTGTGGGGTGGGCAGAAGAAACCTCTGCTGTCAAGGACAAACAAACTCAAGTGCCTACAGTTTGCCAAACATTACTGGAACTTTCAGTGGGACTGTGTTCTATGGTCAGATGACCAAAATAGATATTTTTGGCAACAAACGCCAGAGGTGGGTTTGTTGCAGACACAAAGATAGCCATGCAAGAAGTACCTGACCCCACTGTGAATTATAGTGATGGATCTGTGATGTTGTGGGCTATTTTTCTTCCAAAAGCCCTAGACAACATGTTTGGATACAAGATATCATGGACTTTTATTAAACCAACATCTGACTGCCTCAGCCAGGAAACCTTAACTGGGCCTGGGTTGGATCTTCCAGCAGGACAATGATCCAAAGCACACCACAAAATCAACACAAAAATGGTTCACTGACTACAAAATCAAGTTTTTGCCATGGTCATCAGTCTCCTGACCTAAATCCCACTGTGGGATAAGCTGAAGAGGAGAGTCCACAAGCATGGAGCTCAGAGTCTGAAGGCTCTGGAGAGGTTCTGTATAGAGAAATGGTCTCAGATTCCTTTTCATGTGTTCTCCAGTCTCATTAAGCATTATAAGAGAAGACTCAGAGCTGTTATCTCTGCAAAGTATTAAATGAAGGGGTGCCAATACTTGTGGCATACACAGATTTGAGAAAAATATTTATTTCCTGATAAGATTTAGTTGTTTTTTTTTCTTCAAATCATTTTGCTTCGAAAAAGGTTACATTTTCCATAGTATTTTGAATGAAAAACCAAAAGACTGAGCAATAAAGATTTTTTTATAGCCATTTTGCTTATGATTACCAGAGGTGCCAATATTTGTGGAGGGCACTGTGTACAGCATATACTCACCTCTAAAAACAATGATTAACTCTACACCCTCCTAAAAGTAGTGAAACAGATACGTGTGTGTCTGTATTTTATGCTTTATGTTGATTTGACAACTTCATTTTCATCCAATCAGGGGTTGTATTACATGTGCCCTTCATATGTTGTAGCACTGGGTGACATGGTAAAAATCCTAATATCACAATACTTCAGTAAATGTTCACGATACACAATATGTCACAATATTTATTTGATATTTATTTGTTATGATAAAAAATACTAGTAAGTACGAATGATTTTTATCAATATCGAACCTTGAATTTCTCTCCAGTGGGACGAAGGCAACAAAATTGAAGTATAAATCATAACAGAGGCATTTGCTGAGGGCCTGCAGTAGGAGATGCTGGCTTGCTAGTCAACATTCACACAGTTCTACAATATTCTGTCCTCCATTCATGCTGTTCTAGAATGTTCTTCCTCATTCACACTGTTCTAGAATGTTCTTCCTCATTCACACTGTTCTAGAATGTTCGGTAACACTTTATTTGGATGGTCCACTGTAGATGTTTTGTAGATGCTCAGTGTATCTATAACTAACATTCAACTCAATATCTATTAAATGCAACTGAACTTGAGGTTGCGTGTGGAAGGTTCTATAAAATCTATTCCTAACCCTAAACCTAAACCTAACCCTAACCTCAAGACAAAACCTACACCTGCTCCTAAACCTAACCCTAACCTCAATGTTGTTGATAATCAACTGAGTATCACCGGAAAATTGTTAATTATTTAAGTATTTGTAGATCCATCTATAGGGGACCATCCAAATAAAGTGTGACAGAATGTTCTTCCTCATTCACACTGTTCTGGAACGTTCTTCCTCGTTTATACTCTTCTAAAACTTTTTTCCTCATTCACACTGTTCTAGGTCATTTTTCCTCATTCACACTCTTCTAGAATGTTCTTCTTCATTTATACTGTTCTAGAACGTTCTTCCTCATTTATACTGTTCTAGAACATTCTTTCTCATTCACACTTTTCTACAATGTTCTTGCTCATTCACACTGTTCTAGAATGGTTCTATGAATGTTATTCTCCATGCACACTGTTCTATAATGTTCTTCCTCATTTATACTGTTTTAGAACGTCTTCTAGAATGTTCTTCCTCTTTCATACTGTTCTAGAATGTACTTTCTCATTCACACTTTTCTAGAAAGTTCTTACTCATTCTATCCTAGAACGTACCTTCCATTTACATTGTTCTACAAATTTCTCGTCACATTGTTCCTGCACCTTTAAATATTGATTATTTATTTATTAATTATGTGTTTAATTATTCTAACCATGCTGAACAGAAGGGGTTGCTGTGGGTTACCAAAGGGGTCCAGGCTGATAAATGTCTCCCTCCTGCCGCTGGTTTCCTGGGAGATGGGCCGTTGGGTCGAGCTGAGATGCGATTGGGTTTCCTGTAATTAAAATGAGGGGAAGAGAGACATGCAGCTCATGAATAGCATCAGTGTATAGAGAGAGAAAGAGAGAGAGAGAGAGAGAGAGAGAGAGAGACAGGGGAAGAGAGGAGACAGGGAAGAGAACACTAGGAAAGATTGTCCCATCAATGTTATAGAGGCACATTGCTCTTAGTTCAACCGTTATTATGGTCAAAAGTACTTATAATAAGTATGTCATGCACTTAGTTATGTAATGTTTAAGTATTTTAACAAACTTGCCAAGGAGGATTACATCAGATATTGTATGACTGTGAGGTTGACTAAAAAAGAGTGTCGCCAATGGTACTAAAGGAAAATGCAACACCTGATTTTGCCTTTAAATTGGACGACAAAACAATCCATAAACAGTAGGTGATGCAAAGTGATCTGAATAGTTTGTGTTAAAAATGTTACCTAATTATCATTTCTGTAAAATTAAATTCAGAAAAGTGTGTGCAATTTTTTTGGCCATTGTAAGAAAGCAGCATGTTCAGTATTGTTTTTATTGTCTATATTCCACTACTGTCTAAATACTGTATTGTGCAAGTCAGAGACCACCTTTTGTTTATTTAATTTCCAGTCAGGATGGCCTAGCTATTCATTTTAAAGCAGAATTTTTTTTAATAAAATATTACACAGAAGCCTCAAGATGTGTACATCCTTTGCCATTACTAAAGCTTCCATTCTTCTCTGCAGGGATATTTTTCCACACATCCAAAGTTCAGACAGTGGAAAATGCAAGTGCTTTTTCTGCTTCTCACAATCTAAGTAGTCTTGAACACATTCACTGATGCTGAGTTCTGGCAGTTAATTGTTCTGAGAACACCAGCAACATCTTTTGTTTGATATGCAACATCTGTAACAGCTTATTAACAGCTACATATCCTTTCAGTCCCAAAGCGTTGAGTTGTCTTCTAACAGTGGAAGGATAGACAGAAACATCTGTGGATTTTTTCAGATCTGAATAAGTGTGGAACTTGATTTTCTCCTCTCTGTCAAAGATGAACGCTTTAAGTGCTGTTTATCTGATGTTCACAGTGTTGGTCGTCTACCAGGCCTTGCATATTTGTTAGGAGACCCATTTCCTCTGTATCTTTTAATAACTCTAGTTTTAGAAACTCTTGATTTTTACACTTTCCTTGGCCTGTCCCCTAATTTATGCAAGTGGATTATCTTTAAAATTATCTAATATCTTCAGAAATATCCCCTCAAATATGTAGAAGTTAATAGTACTTAATGGTAATTTTGACTAAAAAAGAAATAAATGAAGGGCGGCCTCTGTGCATAGTACTGTGGTTCCTTCAGTCATGTGTATATTTAGTGTAGCGTCAGCACTAATTCTCAATCGTACCAAAATAATTGAATCATAGTAAAATGCAGGATGCGTTAACTCATTTTCTAAAGAAACACAATCCAAGTTGCTATGACCTCATACATCATATACAGTGCCCTCCACAAATATAGGCATCCCTGGTAAATATGAGCAAAAAAGGCTGTAATAAACATTCTTTATTGCTTATCCTTTTGGCTTTTCATTCAAAATATTAACAAAAGATTATTAACGATGATTGAAAAAAAAATAAATCTTATGAGTAAATAAATATTTTTCTATATGTATACTATATGTATACCTCAATCATTGGCACTCCTTCATTTAATATTTTGTGCAGCCTCCCTTTGCAAAGATAACAGCTCTGAGTCTTCTCCTATAATGCTTAATGACACTGGAGAACACATGACAAATTATCTGAGACCATTCCTCCATACAGAACCTCTCTAGATCCCCACAGATTATTATTTTATGTAAGGTTTGCACCGTGGACTCTCCTCTTCAGCTTATCCCACAGGTTTTCTAGGAGTTTAGTTCAGGGTCAGGTCAGGACAAGGTGGCCATGGCAAAACCTTAATTCTGTGGTCAGTGAACCATTTTAGATCATTGTGCTGCTGCAAGATCCAAACTATGGACCAGTTTAGGCTTCCTGGCTGAGGCAGTCAGGTTTTGAGTTTATTTCTGTTGGTACTTAATGGAGCCTGTGATATCATGTATCCGAATACATTGTCCATGACCTTTGGAAGAAAAACACCCCCACAACATCACAGATCCACCACTATCTTTGTGTCCACGCCAAACTCACCGCTGGTGTTTGTTGCCAGAAACCTTTATTTTGGTCTCATCTGAGACACAGTATAGAACACAGTCCCACTGATTTTGTTAGTCTTTGACAGCAGAGACTTCCTTCTGGCAACCCTGGCAAATAACTTATGGTTATGTAGGTGGTGTTTGATTATAGTTTGGAAGACATTGTGACTCCAAGACCTAACTAATGTCTGCGATTCCTCATCTGTGATTCTTGGATATTGTTTGTCCACCATCCTCCTCACTGTGCATGAGGTCAGCATAGACATTTGTCTTCTTCCTGGCAGATTCTAGTTGTTTTAAGTTTCTTAAAATAGCTGGGTACTGGAAACGGGGAAATTTTAGCTATTTTCTTGTAGCCATTTCCTCATTTGTGCAGCTCAACAACCTTTTGTCGCACATCATTACTGTTTTCTCTGGTCTTTCTCATAGTGATGGAGAATTTGGCCTTTGTTTCAAATCGCTCAGGTGAACTTTAAAACACACTACACACACAGATTTAAGAAAAATATCTTTTTTTTCAATCATTGTACCTTAAATAAAGTTATATTTTTGCAAATATTTTAAATGAAAGATTAAAAAAAAGCATATTAAAGAATAAAGAATATTTTTTACTGCTCATTTTGCTCATGATTAACAGGGATGTCAATATTTGTGAAAGGCACTGGAATAATTCCATGCATCATGTAACAAATACTTTAATGCCTTTAGCTACAGACAGTATTAAATGAATGGACTGTATGTGTTTGTGTGTTTAGTTTCTGACAGGTGTGTTAGAGCACAGTGCTGCATCAGTGCGAGAGCTGGCAGTACGAGTCGTGCAGACCATGTACCGTCAACACGGCACTGTGGTGCTACACTATCTGCCATCCGATGATGCCAGCGTGCGTAAAAACGTCCTCTACAAAAACCTCTTCGACTCTTTTTCCAAGATAGATGGAAGACTTCCAGACACACAGGTAACCATCACTCTGCTGTGACAGCTCCAAATCACTGCCAACCCCTCCATTACAGTAACAGTTAATCAGTATCTCACAGTAACTCCACACGGACTCAGTTATGCTCTTCACTCAGAACGCTCTTCTGTGTTATTCTCATAAACCCTATTCGAGCTTGATTAGATTTATGGGGAATTATGGTTACTGACAAGATCCGTGATTTTTATCCAAGATTTTGCAATTTGTGTAGATTTTACAAGTTTGCTAAGTAATAATTCTGGAGTGGATCACCTTCTAGAGTTTGCCGAACTCGGAGCTCCCTCATTAATTGTAGTCATGTTCAAATCGACATCATAGTAGTGTAATAACAAAACCAAGTAACAGAAAATGGCATGTTTTTTCTTTTTTTGCAACGTGAAGACCCAGTTCCTCAATTGTCAAGTCCTGAAGTTCATGAAAAGACTATTGAAACCCACAACATGTGAAGTCTCTTCCCTCAACCTGTTCTTTCTTTCTTTCTTTCTTTCTTTCTTTCTTTCTTTTCTTTTCTTTTTTCTCTCTTCCTCAACTGTTTCTCTTTTTTGTCATTCCCTTCTTTCTATCTTTTTCTTTCTTTCTTCATTTTTTCTTGTTTCTCTCTTAATATTTTCTTTCTCTGTCATTTCTTTTTTCCATCCCTGTGTTTTCCTTTCTTTCTTTCTTTCTTTCTTTTTCTTTTCTTCTGTCTGTTTCTTTCTTTATTTCTCCCTCTTCATTTTTCTATCTCTCTCCCTCTTTCGCAGATGCTAAAAGGAAGAGGAGTGCAGAAGGAAGGAGAGAGAGAGAAAGAGGAGATCAGGAGTTTGCAAGAGCAGCTGGCTGTTCTGAAGGAGATCAGTGTAGGTTCTGCCAACCATGATGTCATCTTCCTCTGGAGGCTATTACAGCATCATGTTTTCCGCATTTTCACACAGAATGAAAAAAATGAGGACAGCAATAAAACACATTTATGTACTTTATGTAACAGTTGTGTAAAAAAGCTTTTGTATTAGAGACTATGCAGGTGACAATACGCATATTTTGAGGTTTGATGTGATTCTTGATTCTAAGTTTAAGATTTGATTTGATTTTTTATATTTTCTGCATTAAAATCAGTCAGTTTTACACATATACTATATATTACACAGATTAATTTGGCTCTTTGGCGAATATTCTTGTGTGAAATTGTGATCTTATAAAACAGCTTAACTAAGCCATTAACAACACACCCATTCTTGATCATTGTACTAGATTGAAATCATGACTCCATGGACAGTTTGGGCTTCAGTGCTGTTTTTGATGTCTTTTAACATAATTCTGACATACAAATAAAATATGTTAATAACAGAAACTCTTATTATTTCTGAAGGAGAAGGGGAAGGAAAAAAACAAATCACCTGAAAAGCCAGATAAACCAGGTCTGTGTTTCTGTTCTGTGTGTTCATACAAACATGTAATCTCTCCTAAATGTTTAAAAGGTTAAACTAGCAAAATGTCTTTGTTCTTGTAGGTGTTAAAAAGGGAACTCATTCCATCTCTGATGATGCAGTCAAAGCAAGCCAGTCAACTGTAGCAGACTACTTAGACAAGTAAGCATCTGATACACTGCTGTGTGTCACTGTGCATATTATATATCCACCTGTTGTGCACCTTTTAACAGGTGTAGATTACAGCTTCACCTCTGCCATTTGCTCTTCTGTGTATTAGGGCTGGCCCACATAGTTACAGTACTATTTGTTTATATTATTGGTATTTGATTCTTTTTTGGTATTCGTAAGCTTTCATCAAAATATAGCCTAAATAAGTTCCATCAAAAGAATGTGGTAACACTTAGATTAATAACTGATCATCACATTGATTTATCACTCTACTCAGGTTATTGCAGAGCTCAGTAACACCTAGATTAATAACTGATCATCACATCGATTTATCAGTCTACTCAGGCTTTAGCAGAGCTCAGTAACACCTAGATTAATAACTGATCATCACAATGATTTATCACTCTATTCAGGTTATTGCAGAGCTCAGTAACACTAGGATTAATAACTGATCATCACATCGATTTATCACTCTATTTAGGTTATAGCAGGAACTTTAGTGTTTGTAAAGAAGACATTATTGTGTATGTCTTTAGAGGACGTCTTTACTCGGCATGCATTGATTTTAAAATAGTTAATAAACAAGCATTTGATGTTTTTTTAAGATGGTGTACATTTTTATATTTGGTAAGTAAATATTCTAAAAATATTCTGCTAAAAATGTAAAAGGTACCTGTATTCTGAATACTGCCTTTATGAATGTAACTTCGCAGATACTTACAGATAATTAATTTCTGTATTCTGAATTTGTATTCCTAATTCTTGTATTCCGTTACATCCCAACCCTGTAAATAAGATATATCTGGATCAGCTTACAATAGATCATACATTTATGCCAGACATCATCTCGCCTCAAAGCGCAAAGATGCCTTATATGTAGAACCACTTTCAATTATTGGATGATAACAAAAATGCTCAGTGCAAAATTTCCAGTGAGAGGCAGATAAACCATGGAAGGAGGTTAAAGATTGATGAATCATCTCAAATATGTAAGCATAGTGATGCTTATTTGAGTACCACCATCCATACAATCCACACTATGTCTGCTCCGTCACATAACTGCTCCAGGCAGGATTATCAGCTTTTTTCTTCTTTTGTTTCCTATTTAAACCTTTTTAAAACGGGTTCAAAATTGACAACACAAACAGAAGGTCTTTTTACACTGTTAGTACAGCGCAGGAGCTGCTCTGCAACCACAACATGACATCCTTGCATTTTAGTCAATTGTCTATTTACGTTTAGTTTAGTATAGTTTAGTATAGTTTAAATATAGTATAGTATATGACTTGTAGTGATTGTTGCAAACATGCTGGGCTCCAGTATGTCTTCTAATTACATTTTGTACTGCAGTCTGTGTATATTTTGTGGAGAGAAAGACAAATCTTTTACGGAGGAGGGCTTGGACTTGCACTACTGGAAACACTGTCCAATGCTGTGCCGTTGCCTCCAGTGCAGACAGGTATATCAAACTTTACGCACACACACACACACATACACACACAAACTAGGGTAATAATAGAAAGGTTGTAATATCAAACTGGATATGTTTTTGTGACCCAGTTTGATGAATTGCATTAGTGGAGTCACATGGATCATCACAGTCAGTTGCAATGCACTCTTCCTGAAAAGGAGCTGGTGAAATCACCAGATCACACATGGCATTTCAAAGCAATGGTTCAGCCAATAGTCAATTTTCAATTTCAGAAAAACATGTTCGGTTTCAGATTTTTTTACTTTTCCACTGGAGCTGCAAGGCTAAAGTAGCTAACAAGTAATGGAAGCTTATAGAAACCAGTTTTGCATCATGCAAACTGTGTGCTAAATTATCACACACTTACCCCAAACCACGTTGAGTTAATTCATCTCAAATAAATTTGCTTATGTAGTTTCTAACGCTGTTTGGCATAGTGTTATTAAAAAAATAATAAAAACAGCGGTAGCAGCCAACCTGAAGCCTGAGGTTTTGTCCATACTGTTGTCCATTTTTGTCCATTTCCATTACTTGTTAGCAGTGGGGAACCCTCCGGGTCTTCTAGGCCTTCAAAGAAGTAGTGTAGTTCGTAATGGTTGGGGCCTTTAAGACATCCTAGATACATCACGGACTGCGAATAAGAGTTAAGAGACTTTGAATAATAAGTGTTGGCCCTGTTGTCAGAGATCACGAGTTTGGTCCACGGTGATGCTACAGCATCCATGGCCTGGGAGTCAAAAAGAGCACAATTGGCTTCACTCTCTTTGAGTGGGTAGGATGGCCCTATCTCTCCCCCCATCACAAAGTGAGATGCATGTCGGCTCAGGCTTCTGTTAGCTAACGTAACAGAATTGGCATTTAGTATTCTCCTCCAAGCGTGTTCAGCTGTCCAGTGACGGTGCATTAGCGGCGTTAATAACTTGCGTTAATAGTCACAGTTCACCCCTTCTTGTTAGCTCCAGTTAAAAAACTAAAGAAGCAAACGTTGGGTGATTGACTGCACTTGGGGTAAGGGGAAAATTGTATAAATTTGACTGAATCATTGCTTTAAGCACGTTCACTGTTTGATAGCTTCTCTGTAATCTAACAAAGCAGAACAATATGAACAAAATAATACTGCAGAACAAAGGCTATAAAGCAGAGTGAGACTGAGTATTATGCCTTTGGTCTAAACCTGTTTCATACGTCATTAACCTTTGGTCAGTGCTGACAACTTAATTGATAATGATTTCAGGCTATAGACACTGAGGGAGTGCCTCTTTGTTTCTTGCCCTCACGTTTCCCCGGTTTTTCACTTTGACAGCTCACTTTAGAGAGGTCAGCTGTCACTGTGTTTGCTTTAACAGCATTCCAGCCTAGTGGAACATTCACTCTAAGAACTGTATTGACCTTTCTCAGATATCTTACATACTTCCCTCTCCTCACCCCACTCTCAGCACAATGCTGAGTTCTCTTTTGTGACCTTTATGCATTATTTTCTTATGTTTCCTTAAGTCTGGCAAGGGTCTCCTCAGTTTGGCGCCTGTCAGTTTTAACCATAGATAGAGAGAATGGACCTCATTAATTAATGTTGCATTGCATACCAAATACCAAATATTAAATTCACGTAAATATTTCAAAGATTCTACTTTCACTCAAGTTGTTATGCTGATAATGTAAATTGTAATAGCATGTTTTGTATTAATTTGGAAAAGAATGCAAAATAGAAGCATGTTTTATGTGTATTATATATTGATTTTGATCACATCTCTGGTACAAATTGCCACACATCTCATCATTTCTCATGTATGTTTGCATACATGTATGTTTGTGTATGTTTTAGGTGGTGGAGATTTCCAGCCTGACCGAGCACCTTCTCACAGAATGTGAGCACAGAGCTGATTTTGTTCCGTGTCCTCGCTGTTCAGAGGCTATCATCAGAGATCAGCTAACTGAACATGCTCAAAGCACCACCTGCAACTGTGAGTTCCTGTGCTGTCACACCTTAGTGTTCACACCATCAGGAGACACACACATAGTTTCTCAAACACATATGAAACACATCCTTCGCAGCCTCACATAAATGCTGGTTTCTGAGGCCTCAGTAGTCGTCTGGGTGAGGACTAACTAAATGTCTTCTGTCAAAATACAATTTAACTGCAACAGGCATTGTTCCAGTCTAATGACCTGCACCCAAACCATGCTAGGATGTGGACACTGGCAAAATTTTAGTCTTTACCAATATCAATTTTAAGAGGCTTAAAATTCCAACAGCTTTTGATCTTGGTTGATATAATTTTATATTTATATTTTAGATTTCAATTCTATACTCTGGTAGTTTTAACAGAGTGACTTTCTGACTGATATGATTGTTGGTTTTCAATTATCACACTCTTTAAAGTCAAATAAACAACTGAAACATAGTTTTAAATAATATATTGTAGCTTAGAATGCTTTATGCTTTTGATTTCTGTTTATCACTACTTATTGTTCTTATTGTATTTATTGTATTTGTATCTTATTAGTTCTCTTCATATAGTTTTTTGTTTGTGTAATAACATTATTCTGATGCTAAAGGTGAGGTTTGGATATGTTTTATATTTTGTAATACCATGATTGTAGTTTGTGTTCAGATTGTGCTCAGAGCTACCCAGTGCCTTAAGCTTTTGCCCCGTTATCAAGAGATCATGAGTACAAATCCCTCTATGGCACGACCAAAAAAAGGTGATGTTATCAGCCGATGCTGATAATACAACAGGTCATTAATATCAGGCAATGTTGTCGACTAACCTATATAGTATTGGCCACAGAAAGATATTAATTTTCAGTTAAATGCATACCATGATATATATGGCTGCAGTGTTTTTGTTCTGAAGATGAAGACTTCCGATAAAACTCATTCACCCCTATAAATGTATGTGGTGCATTGTTGTTGTAGAGAAAATATTTAATATATGCTGTTTTTGGGAAAGACATGGGAATAGCATTACTTCACTTTGGGTGAGTAACAATTTTATTTGCTTCTTTTTTTCTGATCAGCCCTTCCTGCTGATGGAAGCTGTAATCACTGTCCTTTATGTCATGAGAACTTTCCCTCCAGGAGAAGAGGTGAGACACACACCAGCGTAAAGCTGGAGGAGTGTACTGTTCTAACCTCTCCCCACCCGACCCCCACCCCTCACTCTTTCCAGTCAAAAAAGTCTAAGTTAATCAGCATCAGGAATAGTAAAGGTAATGGTTCTATTTAGAGCAGTGACTTCTATATGGAACCATTCCATGCTTAAATGGTTCTTTGCATGTTGAGATGGTTCTTCAGATTGATGGAGAATGCATCATGATAAAATGCTTGTAACAATACTTTTTGGTGCTATATGGAACCCTTTTCAAAAAGGTTCTATATAGAACCATATACAACACATTCTCATCTATCTGAGAAAAAGGAAATAAAGTTACACTTTCTCCATCAATCTGAAGAACCATTTCACCATACAGAGAACCACTTAAACATGAAATGGTTCTATATGAACTCATGGTTCTAATAGAACCATTCCTTTTTACTAAAGAAAAACCTCTTTTTAAAAGTGTATATTTAACAGAAAGTTATAGAGATGCCTCAACAACTAAATCTAATATATTTTTCAGTATTTAGTTTGTTCACCCTTCGCCTTTATTACAGCCTGCATTCTTTTCAAGAGACTTGAGAAAGAAATCAATTTTCCAAAGTTCAGTTTTAGAAGTTGGTTGCATTTTCTGCTTCTTACAATCCCAAGTAATCCCAAACACATTAAATGATGTTGAGGTCTGAACTCTAGAATGGTCAGTGCTTTGTTCTAAAAACATCAGTAGCTTCTTTGTTTGATTTGCAAATTTAGTATTGTTTTGTCTATTTCTTCTTCTCGGTAAGAGCTTCTTAACAGCCACACATACTTTCGGCCTCATAGTGTTGAGTTGTCTTCTCACAGTGGAAGGATGGACAGAAACACTTGTGGATTTTTTCAGATCAAGAGTGGAGCTTGACTATCTCCTCTTTTTCAAGGATGAAAGCTATTTTCTATATTTACAACTTAATTTGACTCTAATTTGACCTCCCTTATAACAAATCTCCTCCACAATATATCCTAAAATATGAATAACGTGTACTCAATGTCCATCTTAACTGCAAATTAAAAATTAAATAAAAGGGTGGTCTCTGACTTTTACACAGCACTGTATGTAGCTTTTAAACAAACATCTACCATCTGGCACCCAGTCTGTTCCACTTTCTCTACAGCATTGTATCTGAGCTCTCTAATTACAGTCTCTGAGAAGGCTGTGGTTACACAGCAAGCTAAAGTCCCTGCCAGGCACCCAACAGGTGTGCATAGCTTCTACACAGGAGCAACAATAATCTGCAAAGTCATAGCGAAAAAATGCTGCCCGACAGAGTAAATCATAAAAAAATTCAACATCAGGTGGACATTTTTGTCTTAGTCTGTCATCATTTTAAAACAGTGTACCTGAGCTACTGATGATTTACACTGCTGTAACGTTAAAAACGCCCTAAAATGCTTTGGTTGCAGTAAATGTGTGATGTTTTCATGTCTTACGTCTGCCTGCTGACACTGAAGACTCCCCAGGCTTCTTTCTTTGCAATTCTCCAACCCCAGAAGCCCATAAATATTTTATATGCCAGGCCTTAAAGCAAGGGTAAGCAGTCCTCCTCCTGAAGTTGCAAACTGCTACAGGTTTTACTTCTAACATTTATCTGACATGCCTGGCTCTAATACTCCAGCGCTGCTTAGTATTTTAACAAGCTGAGGTAGTTCTTGCACCATGTCTTTTCTTCTCAGTTCACTGAGGGCCACAGAGGCTGAAGGTATATGTTTCAGTTCTTAGCAGCACCACCTGATACATTTAATGAGGGCTCCTTTCATTGTTAAAGGAATATTCGAGCATTTTTCAATCTAATCTCTATCTTCCAAATCTAACAGTAATTTCATTGCATTCCTCTATGCTTAAAAAAAGAGATCTAAAAGCCTTTTGAGTCAAAACTCATAAACTCATCATTTCTAATAGACGCTAATAGGCAGTTGCCTATACAGTTGAATACAAGTTTGAAATATGTGACTATATAAATTCAAAACAGCTGTTAGACTCTTATAATACAGATATTGGGTAAGGTAAGGTAAGGCAGACATAAGAGAGTAGAGACTAAGCAACAACAGCAGGGATGCCTACACCTATGCTGCCATAGTCTGCAGTTCTGCTACAGCAGAAATGTCAGTTTCTATAGTTCCTAAAACATTAGCAAGATTTATCATTAACAACATTCAAGTACGGCTGCAAATAACAAGTGTCCATAGTCCATTAATCAGTTCATTATGGCTTTGGTTAATCAGCTGAGCAGGAGAATAATAACAAAATATTTTATGTCATACACAGTGTTTCTTTCAACAAAATAAAAATACAAGGACCCTACCTTCTGAATCACAGTAACAAAAATAAGGGCACTTTTTCAAGGGCATAGTAACAGGTCTTCTGCACTGCCCTAATAAACGCAGTTAAAAAAGGTGCAGAAATAATAAAAGACCAATGCATGAACAAGTCTTACATGGCAGCCTAAGTACTGTTGTGGAGGTAGTTTGGTACTAGAAAGTCTTCTCAGCATTGCTGCTCAAATTATTTCCTCTCTAATGATTAAGCAAAGATAAATGAATTAGTTTGTGTGGTCAGTAACATCATGTAATTAAACCTCATAATAGCGAACACGCAGAAGCAGCCTGTTCATCTGCTGCATCAGACACACCGTGTCCTAAAGCATGCTCGCCACACGTGAAACAGCAGTAACCCTTTGACACACAGAAAAACACATGAACAGGACTTTTTAAAATATCCACTCTGGAGAGCATCTTCCATAAACTATGACTTTATGTATGGATTGATGCGCACTACATTTTTACACTGAAGCCATTTTCGTGAAGCTGGAAGGCCAAACAGCGAAGAAAAAAGTACATTACCAAAAATATGCATGTATGTGTACGTGCGGATGAGCAACTCTGTGTGCACAAACATCTCTGATAGCAAATAATTGCAATGTAGCCATGCAGAAATGTGTAAAATGCAGCTCATCACTTCAGCTAACGGTGTTTATTTTGCTAAAATAAAAAGAGCTTGCTGAAAATCTGACATTCTGCCACAAATGTGCCTTCTCAAGCTCGCCTATGACAGTCATGCTGCTATCAAAGGTGGGGTCAGTTTTACACATTTACAGGAAGTTGTCTGATGTTAAAGTGAAGTGTTCCCATAATTTTTTACTTTTTTAAGTTGTGTGTAACCCTGTACTGTAGTCCCTGTCATCTGTATTTTTCCTCTTTCAGTTTTTTTTTGATTAGTTGTTGCAGCTCTAAATTCACATGAGTTAATTTCACGTTTTTTTTGTGTTGAATTAGAATCTTATTAACACTAAAATTTTATTTACACTAGATAATAATACTGTCCTGAAGACACTGAATGTTTCATTATTTCAAATATGTGTCATCAGGTGAGCAAAGACAGTGAAACCCTTCGTTCTACTCTCATGATAGAGTTGTTGCTCAGTGGTTTCCGTGGCTATGACATTTAGTTTTTTTTTCAGGTCGTTGTAGCCATCTCTACAACCATCAATGCTAAAAGTCCCTTATGTCTTACAACAATTGTATCCAACTTTCTGGAACACTAGGCCCATCTCTGGAGGAACAGATTACACAGATTTGTAATTAATTTGCCAATGTCTGACTGAGGAATTAAGGAAAGTGTTCTAAAAAAAAAAACTTCTAAAAAAGTTTTGTATAGCAAAAATCTGCAACTGCCCATTGGCTTCTACTATAAGTGTATTTTTAGTCAGAGCGTTTACAAAATATAGGGAGGCTTATTTTTAAGAAAGATTTCTGAGGAGATTAGATGTAAGGTAATCATTTTGAATAAGGAAAGTGAAAGTCAAAGTAAACTAAGTGAAAAACAGGAGTTTCTAAAATAGGTGTTTAAAAAATTAAAGAGAAAATGCAGCTCTTATTAAAACTGTCACCATTAAAGGGCCAAATCAAGCTCCACTTCTTCAGATCTGAAAAAATCCACAGGTCTTTCTGTCCATCCTTCCACTATAAGAAGACAGCCCCATGAGATTGAAAGGGTGTGTACCTTTAAAGAAGCTGTTACTGAGAAAAAGAAATGAACAAAAAAGCAGATGAGACAAAGATGCTGCCGGTGTTCTCAGAACAATAAAATGGCCACTCCAGAGTCCAGACCTCAACATCATTGAAACTTCTAAGACTGAACTTTGGAGATATGGAAAAATACCCTTTCAGATTTCTTTGAAAAACTAAAAGCAAGACTCTTGAAAAATGCCTGAAAAAAAAGCAGACTGAAAAAAAAGTTAATAAGTTTATGTGTTTTTTAATGGCCAAAATTGTGTATAGGGCTTCAGTATTTCTGTGAGAGTATAAAACACACATACATAGATGCATGTACACATTCCTCTGGCAGTAAGGTAACAGTGAGCGGCTTGTGTTTTGTGTATGTGTAGGGCTGGAAGTCTCACCTCATGGACAGCAGTGCAGGCTGTACACAGAACACACGCAGGACAGTGACGCTGCAGCGAACTCACATGCACACACAAGGTGAACCATTCATCCCTCTCTGGGCCCCCACAGAGTCCCCACTGAGCCCCATAAATGCCCCACACAAACCCAGCTAACCCCCCCAAACAGCAGCCAGCCTGGGGGAGGTCCAACAGGAGAAAACTTAACACTGCAAAACAGCTAAATAGCTTTTACATTCATCTGTACAGCGCTGGTATAACAGGTAGCCAATGAGTGATGCATTTGAGACATTGTTTACATTAGTTTTGAGATAATCTTTTGTTTTGTATTTTGTGTAAAATGTATTTTTTTTTATCCATTAATAATAATCTTTCATTTTCAATCCATATATTTACCCTTTATTATACATTCATGGTATAAGGCTAAATAGTACTCAGAAAACATATTTCTCTTTAGATTTAGGTCCACGGCTCATTTTGATTAGTAAATTATATGGATATATTTGAGTTGTAGACATCACAACCCCTGGTTCCTATCGCCACTACTGTAAAGAAAACTGAGATATGATCAAAACACTCTGAATGACTTTGTTCACATTTCACAGATTATACAGATATTTGAAAAAAGTGGTGTAATTCCCCTTTCTGTATTGAAGAAAAAGCATTACTCAGGCCCTGTTCACATTAGCATTCACATCTGCGTGTGTCTCAAATGCATTTCCTGTGATTGGATTTTGTGACTGGAGCAAAGGTACCACCCACATTTACTATGTAAGTCTCTCACAGCAGTCAGACAAAAATGCACCACAAGGCCATGGTCGTGTAAATGAAGGAGCTGTTACAAAGGTCTAGAGCACATGAACTGCTAATGCAACTTGTACAAAAATGGTAGAGGAGACGAAAAATGAAGCTACACAGCGGCTTTCATCTCGGCTGTGATGAGACAGCTAATTTAGCCGCTGTCGAAGATGCATCAAGACACTTTAGCGTTCACACTATAAATGGTATGTGGTCATATGCGTCCCTGACCAACTTCGAAGGTGGTGTGAGTGATCAGATCACAATACGTCTCAAAGCGCTGTCCACTTATGATCGGACCACCCAAGACACACGTTAATGTCAAAAGTGAACAGGGCCGTAATCAGCAGAGAAACAATGCACTAAAACATGTTGTACTTGCATACATCTTTGTGGACTGACATAACTCTTAAAAGAAGGTCCAGCTGACTGGGCTGTATATTCAGGTACTGGAGGTATAGCTAGCATTGCTAGTATAAATGACAGTATAGTTATAGCATAGTGGACATCAACGTTTACATCTCACTCAAAAAAAATCAAAGATGTGATTCCCCATCTTGCTAGTAATTCCAGTGCTATAGCAAAGACAGTCCTTGCACTAGACTTATATTCACCTATCATTGTGTCATTTGTTGAACATGGAGGATGTTAAAATGTTTTTTTCTAGAAGTTGCTTGCAATTACGTATTACCACCAGAGGGGTCTCTAAATCCCCAAACTTTAAAATGCTGCTTTAAAGTACACAGGTTCACTGTAAAAAAAATGGCTTGTCAGACCAGCATATAAAAAAAAATACTTTATGTGGTAACAAGTAAATTAAGTTCTTTTATTCTACCTGAATAAATACTTTGAATGAACAATTCTTTCAATCAGTGCAATTTTTCAGTTGAATAAAACTAGTTCAATTGCTTGTTACCACATGAAGTAGGTTTTTTCAGTTGATCTGACGTGCCATTTTTACAGTGTAAATATAGCAGCTTAGATGCATTCCTTGTCACTTTACCACAGCAGGTGTAGCTGCCTTTGAGGTGAATTTTATCATACACTGTAAAAATGGCTCGTCAGATCAACCTAAAAATATGATTCTTGTGGTAACAAGCAGCTGAACTAGGTTACCACATGAAGTAATTTTTTAGATTGATCTGACAAGCCATTTTTTACAGTCTAGCTACATATTTGTTTAAAATAGTTAGATCAAGTTCTCCAATTCTTTTAATCTCCAATAGTGTATAGTAGCTATATTTGGAAAGTGATTTAACAGTGTTTGATCTTTGAGGTGTTCAGGTGATGTTGTTTCTGATTTACATAACAGCAGCTTTGCAAGTCCTTAAATGTAACTGGAAAACCATGTTAAGGTTTATGAGAAATTTGTACTTATTTTACTTTTAAAAGACCTAGCAATAATGAAGTGGGAACTGACTCAAGTTTTTGCAGCTTAGTTTACTCTTTTTTCATTTTATCTTGTTTCCCACAAGTGTTTACTTCTTCTGTCTCTGGCTTTGATCAGGGAAGACAATCAGCATAGGCTTGTCGAAGAGAACAACAGTGTCTGTTGTTAAAGGTAAAGGGGGCAGCAGGGGAAGCGGCCGAATCCCTGCACCCGCACCACGACCCAGCAGGACCAGTCACGTCAGTCCAGGCAAGACCGTGAGCCACAGACCAGGACAAGCCTGAGGTTCAATCTGCTCAGATTATCAGTACTGTCATGTACAGTAACAGGGCTAAAGCTGGCACACTGAAATTCACTTTGAATTTGAATTTTACTTTGTGCTTTGAATCAATTCGAATCAAATGTGTTCATTGGTTTCACGAAAATACATTACATTAACACACTGTAGAAGTAATAAACTGAAAAGCAGTTATTGGGCTGATGTAATACATTACACATTTAATGTGGTAAATTTATAAGTGCACTATTTTCTTTTTCAGTGTACACATTTTTCTTGTAACCTTAAAGTGCTTCAACCGTGAAACTTATCCTGCTAAACCTCATTGGCAATTGTCCTTCATAGACTGATTCTTTGAAGAGTTTTGCCCTCTAACACTTGTGATACTGGCATGTCATACAGGGAGAGATTTACTGTCATTAGTGTTAAATAAAAATATTGGGCCCATATCATGAAAAACTGAGTTTTCCTGGCTTTTTTGTAATAGGAGTTTGATGTAGTACGTAAACATTGTTAATGTTTCTAACAGTACTGTTCAACCCCCAGTCCATACAATCCATATGTGGAAACTAAGCTGCAAAAACAGCCTGTTTTGAATTCATTGTTTTTGCAATGTTATAAAAAACCAATACTTTAACATAGAACCCTGATTCCAAAAAAGTTGGGATGCTGTGCAAAATGTAAATAAAAACAGAATGCAATGATATGCAAATCATTTAAAATCTGTATTTGATTGAAAATAGTACAAAGACAACATCTCAAATGTTGAAAGATAAAGATTTTATTGTTTTTTGAAAAATATGCACCCATTTTGGATTTGATGCTAGCAACATGTTTCAAAAAAGCTGGAACAGGGGCATGTTTACCACTATGTTGCTGTAGTTTGGAAAGTGAAATGTTTTCCTGTTCTTGCCTGATATAGGATTTCAGCTGTTCAACAGTTCAGGGCCTTCTCTGTCATATTTTTCACTTCATAATGCAGCAAATATTTTCAGGTTTTTGACAGGTCTGCAGAGAGGCCAGTTTTGCACCTGGACTCTTTTACTACAGAGCCACGCTGTTGTAATATGTGCAGAATGTGGTTTTGCATTGTCTTGCTGAAATAAGCAAGGTCTTCCCTGAAAAAGACGTCATCTGGATGGCAGCATATATTGCTCCAGAACCTGTATATATCGCATTAATGGTGCCTTCACAGATGTGCAAGTCACCCATGCCATGTGCACTTATGTGCCCCCAAACCATCACAGATGCTGGTTTTTGAACTGTGTGCTCATTACAAGGCTCAGTGGGTAGCAATGTATTTCACAGCAAGAAGGGCCTGGGTTCAGTTTCCTGGCTGGGAAATCCAACCAGGGTCCTTTCTTTATGGAGTTTGCATGTTCTCCTGTGTCTGCGTGGGTTTTCCCACACAAAGACATGCAGTCAGGTGAATTGGAAATTGGAAAAGCTAAATTGCCCCTAGGTGTGAATGTATATGTCTGTGTGTCTGCCCCATGATGGACTGGCAGCCTGTCTAGGGTTCTTCCTGCCTTCTGCCCAGTGAGCACTGGGATAGGCAGCACCCCCCGCAACCCAGGAGAATAAACAGCTTAGATAATGTGTGTGAGTGTGTGGACCACAGGACACTTTTCCACTTCTCCTCCGTCAATCTTTAAATGAACTCGAGCCCAGAGAAGGCGGCAGCATTTCTGGATCCTGTTTTTATGTGGTTTTAGAGTTTCTAGTTTCTTTAGAGTAACTTGCATTTGTAGATGCAGCAATGAAGTCTTTTCACAGACAATGGTTTTTGGAAGTGTTCCTGAACCTCTGTTGTGATTTCCGAATCATGTCTGCTTTTAATGCAGTGCTACCTGAAGATCATGACCATCCAATGTTGGCTTTCGGCCTTCTCCCTTGCATACAGAGATTTCTCCGGATTGTATGTTTTAATGATATGTACCGTGGATGATGAAATATCCAAGTTCTTCAATTTTTTTTAATTGTTGCACCTTTTGCCCACGCAGTTCTTCACAGAGTGGTGAAACCTCCCCATCTTTACTTCTGAAAGACTCAGCCTCTCTTGGAAGCTCTTTTTATACCCAGTCATGTTTCTGACCTTTTGCCAATGAACCTAATTAGTTGCGATGTTCCACTGGGTTTTTTTTTATTATACAAATGTACCTTTCTTTTGTTGCCCCTGTCCCAACTTTGTTGAAACGTGTTGCTGGCATCAGATTCAAAAAGGGATACATTGTCTTTGTACTATTGTCAATTAAATATAGGGTTTAAATGATTTCCACATCATTGCATTCTGTTTTTATTTACATTTTGCACAACGTTCTAACTTTTTTGGAAACGGGGTTGCACATTTGCCTGTTCAGCCTACAGCAGCTGAGCCTCATTCATTCACCCTGAAGTTATATGGATTTGTTTAGTTTTTTGAATGAGGCGCAACACAGAGCAGGCAGTCAGAACAGAGGTTATTTACATTCATCAGTCTTAAAAGCACAGTAACAAAAGCAGCCTGTGTAACTTTGAGATAAAGAGTAATGTAATGCTTATGTTCATGGTACATTAAACCACAAAAACATTTTAAGTGGCCCTGAGAGAAAGAAATATAATACCAGAAAAAATATATGGGATATAGGCCCTTTAAAACAAAACTAAATCTGGGGAAATATTAGTATTTTAATATTTTGTTTTATTAAAAATCAGTTTAACCTATTACTATTCCTGTACCAGTCATATTTGACACTAGCTGAAAAGTGTATTACACATTAAAGATGTAATAGTTAAGACACAGACAGTTGGATTACAGCAGTAATTCTGATCCTCTTTAGTTCCCATGTTAGTTTACTGAACAAGTCAGATATATAGAGTCAGCTATATAAAGTCAGATATATTTTGTATCTGTTTGAATATTTTATTCTTGTACTTGGATTTTATACTTGTTTTTTCATTGTATTTATGTGTGTGTTTTTCTATAGATGTGTAAATGAAGCACTTTGTGACATTTGTAAGTATTTTTAAATGCTTTAGGTAGAGTGAAAGTGAGAAACAGGTAAACATGCTGATAAGTCCCTAACACCTTGAATTTGCTGAATCTGTACCTACGTCATCACTGTCTGGGTGTTTACGGCACAGAGATGTGAACTCAGGTCAGGTGCCTTTGAGACTCGCTTTTACAAATGGAAAAACACATAGTTGGGCCTGGACTTAAGTTTGAACTTTTATGACTTCACAAATTCTGCCATTTGCTTCAAACTTTACATTTTCCAAAAAAAAAGACAAATAAATAACTTTATTTGGGTTGGTTTCCAAGACATAGATTACGCCTAGTCTTAGATTAAATTGCAGTGCCAGTAGTGCAACGCTATCAGACATTCTTTTGGTCTAGATTTAGGCTTAATCTTTGTCTGGAAAACTGGCCCTAGAAGTTTAACCCCTCAAACTGCAGGCTTAGTATTTTATTCAATTATTAGTCATAAGACTCATTATGTAGTAATTACTATAAATGCCACTGTAACTACTATGTAAGTTACAAAGGTGTGGAGTTGAAGTAGTGGCTCAGATACTGGCTTTTACTGTTTAAAGTATTGCAAAATGCATTTTTATGCAACCACTGTATCCTCCCACAACGTTGAAATCTAAAATCACTTTCAGTTTTCTAAGACTGCAAGTAATTATGCAACATAGGTGTGATGGGGTGAACTGACAAAACATTCTGCAGGGATGGTATTTAATTCTGTCTCAGAAATTAGAATTAGTGAAACAATAATAAGGACTGCGAGCGCATATTGCAGCCGTATCAAGAAAAAATAAAATGCATAACCAGCTCAGCCACACTTCCAATCTATAATATGCAGGAGGAACCGTTCCGATATGCGAGGCTCTTTGTTTTAGGTAGACTCAAGTGACTAATTCATGACTTGACTCAGCCTCAGTACACAGCTTTGGCACTTGAGAACTGCTCATCATGACTTTGGAAAGCCTTAGACTCACTTGTTATATGCTAAGCTGTTATTTGGCCTCCTCTGTATCGGTGAAATTAAGACGACAGTACTACAGATATATGTTTCCCAATGTAAGTGAGTGTAATAGAGCACCTACATGAACAGGTAATGACCAAATACTATGCCGCCAATAAACAAAGCTTGTTTGGTGCTAGAATTGCATGAAGCCTTGATACCAAAGCCATACATTAGAAATTTCTATTACTGAAAATGGCATATGCTGCATTTCTACAGGGTTAAAAAAAAACACAAATCACTGGCTGTTCTGTTCCCAGTTCTGTATAAATTAGTGCTTGATCTTGCAGAATTGGTTATAGATTTTGGAATTATATTTGCACTTGGCAAAGATGGACAAAATATAAAACCTGTGAAGTCCACAAATACAGTGTTAGACAAGCAGTTGTAATTTTAGAGTCTTAAAAGGTAAAATAGTGTCCATGCTATGTTTAATCTCCTTGTGTTTAATTAAATATTACAAATCCAAATAAAAGGCAATGCATTACACTCTAAAGCCTTAAATACACAAGCGGAACTGAACAATTGTATAGCCCTGAGTAAGAACCCATTCAGTCGTGTGTGTGTGTGTGTGTGTGTAAATATATGTATGTGTACTTTAAATCATTGTAGTATTTAAATTTAGTTTTAGTATTTATGAAACATTGATACATATAGATAGATATAGATGATATATGGAAAGATTATTTTCTTAGAGTAGAGTTGCTCATGGATTTCTTTATGATACAGAACAGTATTTGTAGGTTTTTCAAATCAGGGATCATACTAAAAATGTATTTATCTGTTTACTTTAACCAGTGTTCATTTGTCAGAGAAGTACAGTCAAACATAATGTCATAAAACAAATGTGTACATTTATGAATAAACCTGTAAATACAAACACACATACCAAATTTAAGAAAAAAATTAATTTTAAGATTCTTTTCCCCCAAATGCTGGAACACTGATGTGTTGCCAGATGAGAGTTTTTGGTCATACTTGTGCAAATTATAAGCAAAGTCAGTAATTTTTTTTTTCATAAGTAAACTGCAAGAGACTGATCTGAATCTGCTTGACCTCACAGACTACAGACACTAAGCACAACATTTATGACAAAGACTTATTTTATATCTCTTAGCAAACAAACTTTACTTTTCTTTACTGGGATTTTGTGAACACCTTGCTGAGGGGCAGCATTCGTAACTCTATATTACACCTACATAACACATGACAATTATCATTAACCTACATAAACGTTTTTAAAGACTCACTCCAACAGGTGCCAGTTGTCAGAACAGCTGCTTTTATTAATTTTGGTGTGATTTTGTCAGTAAGTGTTATGAAAGCTGACGCTTGTTGAAATGTCTACACAGGTTTATGTCAGTTGTCATAAAGGGTTTATTTAGGTATCGTATAGCATTAGGAATGTTGCACTACTGTAATATGTTACTGGATTTTCTTTACTTAACCCAGCTGATAACTGATTCAAGCTGTTCATAATGACTGTATCTGATTTTGGGGAAGTTCACAGTGAATGTACAAGTGGTGAACTTCTGCCTGTAGCTATTGTGTGTGTAAATAAAGTTAGTGTTATGTGATTCTTGTGTCATTTCTTCTGTGTGCTATGGGGACCCTGAAGCAGACTCTTAGTGCCTATTTAACACAAATTCATGTATGCAAATCTGTGTTTT